GCCCCGCCCGCCCCCCCCCCCCCCCCCCCCCCCCCCCCCCCCCCCCCCCCCCCCCCCCGCCCCCCCCCCCCCCGCCCGGCCGCCCTCTATCATGATATTACGTATAGCATACACAGCACAGATTAACTACGCTTTGAAATCCATCCGTTGTTTCATTGATTTGTTGGCTTGTACTGTAGAAATCAGAAAACACCCCTCGATTCGTTTTATCGATAAGTGGGCGAGCTTGAATAATTTTGGCGGGGTACACTCACTCACTGCCAGCACGCTTGGTTGAATGATTGATAGTCGAGGGTTGTACCTGGGTATCATTCGTTCAACCTCAATTCTAACGTCCAGATTATATTCCTTTCATTCAGCCTCCTTGATACCCAAACCGCTCACAAGATTTGGACGAGATATACAGCGGAGTAGAAGGTGGAGAAATCCGAGACTCAACAACCGTCTCCCTCTCAGCACCTCGGAGACACAAACGAACACCATCTCATGATCTAGAAGTAAAGAGAAATAAAAAGGCGACAACAAGTCTAGATCGCCCACCATGAAACTCGACAGCAAGGCCATGCGCCACCTCACGGCCGAGGACTGGCGCGTCCTAACAGCCGTACGTCCCCGCCATCCCACCATATCCATCCCAGCATTCACCCAACTAATCCCCCCGTCCCCTCACAGGTCGAAATCGGCAGCAAGAACCACGAAGTCGTCCCGACGCCTCTAATAGAGAGCATATCAAAGCTGCGCGGGGGCGCCGGCCGCGTGCACCACTCGATCAGCGCGCTCGCCAAGGTCGGCCTGATCGCGCGGATGAAGGAAGCCCGGTACGACGGGTACCGCCTGACGTACGGCGGGCTCGACTACCTCGCGCTGCACACGTACGCCAGCCAGCGCGCCGTGTACAGCGTGGGCAACCAGATCGGCGTGGGCAAGGAGAGCGACATCCTGGTGGTCGCCGACGAGGCCGGGGTCCAGCACATTCTGAAGATCCACCGGCTGGGCCGCATCTCGTTTCGCACGGTGAAGGCGAATAGGGATTACCTGCGGAAGCGCCAGGGCGGGTCGTGGATGTACCTGTCGCGGCTTGCCGCGGAGCGCGAGTACGCCTTTATGCGCGCCCTCAAGGAAGAAGGCTTCCTCGTTCCCGAGCCCTTGTCGCAGAGCCGGCACACGATCCTGATGTCCCTCGTCGACGCTTTTCCCCTGCGGCAGATCGCGAGCGTGCCCGATCCCGCGCTCCTCTACGCCGAGCTCATCGCCCTCATCCTGCGCCTCGCCAAGCACGGCCTGATCCACGGCGATTTCAACGAGTTCAACATTCTAATCAAGGAAGAACCCATCCAAAATTCCTCGGATTCCGATGCCGAGCAGAACCAAACCTCATCAAAGGGCAAAGAAGTCGAGAGACACCCCGATCCCGAAGCGACCCCTGAGAGCTCAGGGGAGAAGGAGGAGATCAAGATCACCCCGGTCCTCATTGATTTCCCGCAGATGGTATCCATGGACCACGCCAACGCCGAGATGTACTTCGACCGCGACGTAGCCTGTGTGAAGCGCTTCTTCGAGCGGCGCTTTCACTTCGTCAGCACGCAGCCAGGCCCCTTCTTTAAGGACGCCAAGAAGACCGTCGGAAAGGACGGAGCTCGCCGTCTCGATGCCGCTGTCGAAGCCTCCGGCTTCTCGAAGAAGGCCCTCAAGGACCTAGAGGCAGCTATCCGCGAGCAGCAGGAGGCTAGAGGCCCTGAGGGGGAGCAGGATGATTCCTCAGTTGATGATGAGGATGAGGACAATGATGACGATGACGACGGCGAAAATGATCACTCTGGAAATGAGGAAAACAGCATAGATAATGACCAAGAGACAGACAATGAACCACCCAAGACGGGCACGAGCAGAGATGATCTTGTAAATGTAAGCATATCCAAATTAGCTATTGGGGACGCTACATAGGACAACAAATGGATTTCAATTAAACGAACCAACCCCCTTTTACCTGGTTGAAATCACAGCGACGGCCTCACAATGCTTGCGCGGATGATATTCAACACCAAACGCAACAAGGTTTGAAGACATTGATGTCAGCGGGAATATCAAAAATTACAAAATACATGTGTGAATCTATCGATACTGCCTATAGACTAAACTACAAGTCGTTCCCCCCTCTGGCAGTACAAGATGGAAAATAGTGTCTGGTAAAGATAGACACACAGTTTCAGTCCACTGAAAACCCTAGAATCGCAATACCACACAGATACTTGAGTCATCTTCAGCGACTCAAAGAGTCAAGTTAGTCACACTGTTGCAAAAAAGCCAGAACAATGTAACCATACAACCAACGGTGAAACACCCTTTGCCTGAACAAGACATGACAGGGAAAGATGCGCCAAGGTGATGATAGATCATGCCGAAACCAGACAAAATATGATGCCACGTGCATACACAAGACCAGAAAAGGCATGCCTACTCTTTCTGCTTCACAGGCGAAGATCGAGCGCTACCGTTCGCAACCAAGGGAGAATCGATATGAACTGTGACCCCCTCATCGCCCGACCCATCCTCCGAAGCTGCCGCTGCATTGCCGGAAACTGCATTGCCGGGCCTGCTCGCAGAGACGGTTAGCACGAGAGATGGAAATTACACTGAAACGCTGGGTTGATGGGCCGCTCAGCATACTCGCTTTGACCCCCTCCAGTCAAGCCGCGCCCCTGTCCACGAGTATTAATGCTAAGCGGGATAGTGCGAGCGGTGTAGCTAGGGTTTCTGCTCGGGTTGAGACGTTAGATAGTGTCATCAGGGAGAAGAGGTGAGGTGAAAAGCAATGAGCGAAACCTACGACGGAGCATTGAGGGCACGGCGGTAACCACCAGGCTGATTATACATGGCAGGACCCATTCCAACCATAGTCGTTCCGTATGCACCGACATTATATTCATTAGTACGGAATTGACGTCGCTCAGACGTGATACGCTTGAGTTCCTTCTGGGCTGGAGTGTCAGCATAGCGAATTTGCATAGGTAGTCCATCAGGCCCAAGCTTGACGCCCTGGAAATCCTTAATAACTCTGTCGCATATATCACGAGACTCGAACCTTCAACTTCGTCAGCCAATGCTCCTTAAAGCTAGGTGATTCCGTGCAGCTCACCGTGCGAACCCAACACCCCGACTATTGCCCATGCCGTCTCGAAGAATCTTGCTAGAAAGGATTGTAAAGCCAAGGAATACGGTACCAAGTTCCTGTGGGAAAGAAGTCAGATGTATAAGACTTTATCCCATATATTCGGACTCACAGCTTCAGAAAAGTGTCTAGGCAGGTTGGAGATGTAGAGGTTGGTAGATTCATCATCTCCTTCGGCCTTGAGGCGGGAGTTGAACGACTCCTGAGATGCGCACAGGTTAGTACCAAACAGGTCAAAATTTGGCGCATCTGGCATTGCCATCAAAGCATGCTTATGGCAACAGAAATTGCTTGAGAGCCGGGGAACACTATGATCACAGGGCTCAAAAATGCTATTGTAGAATGGGGTGGTGACTGGGGTTGTTACCCGAGCAAAGCCCACTTCGTATCCCAAACGGAAGAAGCCACGAATGCATGCCTCCGAGTCGTGAACGTCAAAAAATTTGGCAAAGCCAAAGCTACGAAAAGAATCAGCAGCGTGAATCTAGCACAGGACAGGCAGGACTAACCCTTTACAAGCCCCGGTGGTGGTATCAATGATCGCTTTCGAGGTCTCGACTTTTCCGAAGCGCTCGGCGTATCGCAGCAAAAGGTCATCATCAGTGGTGGGGTGAAGTCCACGGATGTAGACATTGCGGTTTCCGGGAATGTTGTTGACGAGACTCTGCTCAAGAGTCTTCATGCTCTTACGCGGAGTGAAGACCGCCGGAACAGCCGTTGGGATGGGAGGTTCACGTCGCAGCAAGGTATCAAGATCTCGATCGGCCGCGAGAGGGTAGGTGTAGAGACTCTTGGGGTTCTGAGCAACGTTGGCCATTCCTCCAAGATACTGTTGGGGAGAAGGCGTCGTATAGGACGAACGGTCGAAGACTGCAACTCGGGCAGCTGGGTCACGAGAAGCCATACTGCCTCCAAAGAAAGGAGTAGCAGGAGTAGACTCATTAGTTGAGTAAGATGATCGGCGATTCTCGAGGCCAGGGACCTCCTTCGTTGCAGCATCGGAGCGCTTAGACATAATGCCAGCACGACCAGGAGTATAGGGAAGATAGGGGTATGGCATGTAAGCAGGAAAGCCACCCTGTGCTAGGTATGGTGTAGTGAAGCCAGAATTGGCAGCATCGGGCGTCTGACCATATCCATAGGCTGGAATGCCGGCTGGAGCGTAACTAGCTGGGTACAGAAGCTGGCCATCAGCTGTGGTAACATAGGAATTCATGACCGGTGGCACTGCGCCGTTGGGACCAACTGTGGCTCCGTTGATTCCAAGTCCCCCAAGCTGGTTGGCAATAGTATTCATGCCAACATCGAGGGAGTTTTGACCCGTGAGGCCAGGCAAGTTAGCAGCAGCTTCGTGGGTGTTAGCGAGCTGCGCAGCCAGATAATGTTGCGGGATCACGCCAGCGTTCGTGGTAGCCATTGGGCCCTGCGCGGCTCTAGATGCAGCGCCTCGCTTAGCTCCAAAGTTATTATCGGCAGTCATGGTGCTAGTAGGATGATATGGCATAGTCATCTAGTTGTTTATCAACAAGTCAGCTATGATTTGAACAGAACTGTGATAATATGAAGCGTAAAAAGTCATTAACAAATCGAAAAGCGAAGCTCAGGCATCTGTGGAAGGGAATACACCTTGCGATAGGGTTGTGGCTTGTTATCAGGTATGCTCGTATGAATTATGGCAGGTAGATGGGCAATATAAAGTTCAGGGTGACTGTTCAGTTCTCCAGATATGTTTTGGTGTTCATCAAGCGGTACTCAAACAGACGATTTGGGCATATGAGGCAATATCAGGGGATATTGATGGTATAAAGGTATCCAAAAAGGCCGGAAATCCGAAAGGAGAGGAACTCAAATACCTGGTACAAAAGTTGAGGTTGATCTTGAGTGGCTTCGCTGGATTAATCTGAACAGAAGAACCTAAGTAGAGAGCAGTTAGCACAGCAGCAGAAGTGGGAGCGGCGTCACAAGGAAGTTAGAACGGTCCATAAATGAAAATGAACCGGCTCAGGGAATCAAAGCGGCCGGTGAGAACAATAAGAGAGGATTTCGAGTCACTTTAGGGGACAAACGTATTCGGTGCAGAAGGTGAACTGGGCTAGGGCTAATGGAAGCTATATCTTAGGGTAAAGTAGCAAGGAAGAATTATGTCAGCGCGAATAGTGCCAGGGAATACAGGCTTGTTTGGCAGGCATGCTAGATAGGGAGAAGAAACCTAAGTAGCTTTATTTCGACTACCAATATCAGAGGAAACTGGCTTGTTTGTAGCTCGATGAAGGTAGTGATGCTGGAATTCTCGTCGCTCAGCGGTGATGAAACACAAGTTGTAGGCCAAATGACTTCATGAAGGCAAGAATACAAGTGAAGCAATCAAGGTAATGTCAAAAGAGGGCGACGAAGAGTTGGAAGTAAGGCGGACATGCCCCAAGACTGAAACAGAGTAGTAGCGCGCACGCTTTTGGGGAGCAAATCATCATTGGCAAGGTAGCCAAGGATACAGATCAATCGGATATAGATCAGGACTCACTTTGCAGTATCTGTCTGGCAATGCCAATGTTGTTGCTACCAAGAGGGTCAGAAGAAAGCGAGTGGTAACAAGTAAAATAGTACAGCTAGCGAGCAAGGTGGGAATCGAAAGTGATTGTGGAGATGCGGGTGCTGGATGAGTTGATGCTATGCTGGAGAACCAAGTTGGGAGAAGAGAAGAGAAGGGGGAAGAGGAAGAAGACAGATGGGAGATGGGAGATGAGGTTAGGAGGAAGAGACCTGAGCTGGTAGCTCGAGGGACACAAGAACCACAGGCCTGAAAAGAGCCAAAATTGGGTTTGTCGAGGTGGGCAGGAAGGAGGAACAGGAGAGAGGCAGGGCAAGCTCGATTCCCAGGAGATTAGGTAAGGATCATCGAAAAGGTGCAGGCGACTGAATGTACTTACCTGCTAGAAACGCAGAGGTAGAGACGGAAGGCAGCTCAGATATAAGTAATACAAGTAGGAGCAAGCAAGCCTCAGCCAGGCGACGAGGAAGCTGCGTGCAACGTATTTCGATCTTGGCTTGGTGAGAGATGCAGATACAAGTGAAGACGATACTTGGGTATGCTCTAGATCATGTAGAGTAAGTCTTCAGTACCAAGAGTAAAATATCGTCAACGTTGGGCACTAGTAGTACTGATGACCGACGCAGATTATGGTGAGTAAAGTGGTATTGGGAGAGAGGGAGGAGAGAGGAAGAAGGTGTAAGTGTGTGGATATCGAGGTGAGAAAGTGTGGTAAGGTTTAGCCGATCTTTCCCACACCAAACGAGAGGTATCGTCACCGTTTTTATAGCTGGTTTTGTAGCCAGTACCTGACGTGACTGTACGGATGCCAAAGTTTGTTGCAGCCAAGGCACGTCACGTCATTCCTGGGCTGAAGGAGAAGACTGTGGAAGTAGGTAGGTACCTCCCGTAGCTGAGAGACCAATGCGTCGTGGTGGAGGCTGAGGTTGATGTTGACACGTGAAAAAGAGTACATAAGGTTGCGTAGATGCTGATTGATTGTATTCGTGTGGCATTCGTGCCACTCACAGCACGCACGTGGGGAGTAGGCGCTGCTCAAGCAACAATGACCACAGCAACTAGTACCTCCGCAACTCGCTCGAGGTCTTATGGACGGAAGACCTGCCCACGCATCTGCTGATGTGTTTGGAAAACACGTCTAGCTCATCCCCTCTCTCTATTCCTCCAGTTTCCCGTAGCCCTGTAGTAGCAACGTTGACTTGGCGCTTGTAGTCCGGCAGTGACTGCTGTAACTTGTCTATGGTTTGTACCATCGATCAGTAAGTGACGTAAAAAAGCAATGAAAGAAAGGCAGGGTAACGGGAATCTCAGCAATATGCCTTGGCGGTTTCTATGTTATCTGTGTGCCCATGTTCAGCTTCTCAAACTCCGTACCTACCTTGATCTCAAAGGACTAGACCTCCTTCCATACCTCTTACTTAGCGCAAAGGATTGGGCTACTTATTTTGTATTCAGGTTAGCCACACGGGATTTTAGAAATTGAAGACACAAGCATCTGTTCAATCCAAGAGTATTGACTAGCCGATAGTATTTGACTTTGGACTCTTTGATGTCAACAGTAACTCCTTGCGACAAAGGATGTATGTCAATCGTGAGGGCCCTCTGAAGCTTGTTTTATATCGCCTTCCGTTCTCTAATACAGACTATCAGCTAAACTCAACATTTTATGAATCATAGAGTTGAAACCTTGTGAAATACAATGCTTGAGAACAAAGTGATCAAAAGCAGGTTATTACCTCTGAGCTTTGGTAGGATTTGACTTATACGACATTGCAATTTGGTCTTAAACAATTGTAAGAGCAGGTCAGGATCCTGTTTTCATTCGCTTTCGGCTTGTTGTATACCCTTTTGTCCCCTGAGCTGATATGAGAGACAGTATTTGGTTCATCCAATATATGAAAAGCCTATCTTGATGTTAGACACATCTACCAGGTGTATTCTTCGGGAATTTTCGTAATCTCCATCTCGTAGATGAGGCCAAAGAGCAATGAGATAGTCTTGCGCAAAACAATAGAGAAGAAGAGAGAGAAGACTGCAGTACCCCAACTAACAATACTGGTAGTTGACCAAGAGGATATTTGCTGGCAGAGTGGCCCAATTCCAAGACTGCAATATATCAAGGGAGGAAATGGTGGTTAGTAGACTAGGTACTTATTAGAGACCTGGCTACAGCCAGCCTCAATTGTCCATATTTAGGATAGGCTAGGTATGTTACACGTCTGGGGATGGATGGATGGATGACTCGGCCATGACGAATTACATGGCGCCGGAGGCTGGATCATCGCCACTTGATGCACATCCCGGCGAGACATTCTAGACCTCCGTATAGAACACTCCGTCCGGTTCACTGGTGTTTTGCCAAGAGCCAGCATGGAGCTGATAAGAATTAAGACACTTTCGGGCTTCTCCAGGCGGATAATCGTTGCTTTCGACAGCTCCTTATATGCTTCTTGTACAGCCTGTGGCTTTTTATATTCAACGTGTGGTAGCCTCTTGAGTTATAATATCCGCACCTGTAGAAGAACAGTCTATACTCTTCTTTTGCGCACCATTCGCCTTGAATGTGACTTTGCCGCTTATGGATCAGATCGCTTGTGCTGTCTTGTCGATGTCTCAACTCATCAACGTGTCTCAGTAGAAAGTAGGTAGTCACTTGTTTTTTTCCCTGCTGCCAAAACTCCTTATCCCATATCCGACTTTGGACAGCAAGGATTTTCGGGAGGTATATAGGTTACCGTACTACAGAGAACTACACTAGTTGGTTGCTTATTACTTTCCAATCAAGCCGACTGTCAACAGGCCCAAGGTGATGGAACTTCTCGCCCATTCATAGGAGGAGGACCAAATTAGAAACATGGATGACATGTGATTGTACGCGTCGAAGTTCCTCCTTGTGGCATTCCTGATGGTTAAAAAGCAATGAGTATTGGCCATTCCTTTATGAATATGGGCTGTGTCGGATCTCGGATAAGCTAATGGCAACGTTTCTACCATAGATGGGCGCCGATCTTCCACGTGCTTTATGTAGTATAAGGTTGTTCGTGGGAATTGAACCGTACTTCTTAACTCTTGGGGGCCGATTGCTTCATACAATGCCGGCCTTGTGAACTTTATATTGAATTGCAAGAGCGAATGTATTCTGTGTTGCGTATTCTAGAGATAGCAGGGAGATTCGGCTGCAGATATTCGTGGCGTCATACTCAGGAAATATCGTCTTTGCCATGGTTATATATCCGTACCTGTTCCTTTTTGCATCGACGCCGAGAAGCTAGCGTAGCCACTGTTACTTATGTGAAAGCTATGCACTTACTACCTTTCACCCGCAGGAGAAACTCGTGAATAATGTAGGCAACAAGGAATAATAAAAAATCATGAAGAGTCTAATGAAATCATTATGTTATATATACCACTAATGTATCATGGTCGCGAAACTCGCGATGAACCTCTATTGAACAGATCGCCTGCCAAATCCACCCCAAACCAATTTGCATGGGAATTCGAGGTGTTCTAGTAAACCTATGGCTCTAAACACTCCGACAAGGTCTACGCCAAATCAACACCTCTTATGCGGGTTATATTTAAATGCTCACATCGCTGTAAGGAACGCTCTCTTGGGTATTTCATCATGACCAGACATCCTCCTGTTGAATTGATTAGTGGTTACTATACAGATATGTTGAAAGGCAATGTTGGGACGTACTTGATATTGGTTGGCGGCTCTCATATTCTTGACAATTTCTTCGCCTTTTGTTTCGGGCACGCCACGCTCCTTGGCAATAATTTGACCCAAAACAGTGTTGACTTCTCGAGCCATGTTAGCTGCATCACCGCAGACATAGATATATGCCTTGTTTTGGAGGAGCTCATTGATCTCCTTAGCTCTCTCCTTGAGACGGTGCTGAACATAGACCTTCTTGGAGCCCTCACGGGAAAAGGCCGTTACTAGCTCGAATTTGTCGCCTAGAACCTTCTTGTATTCCTGCGATTATTAGTATAGCACGTACATTGTGTAGAAACATCAAACACCTACCTCCCACTCTGATTCGTACATGAAGTCCTCTGTACGTTTTCGGCAACCGAAGAACAGAATAGTTTTTCCGACATTTTCACCGGACTCTGCCTGCCTGGCACGTTCTTGGACGAAGCCACGCATGGGGGCCACACCAGTACCAGGGCCAATCAAGATGATGGGCTTAGAAGGGTCTGAAGGCAGTTTGAAATTTGAGTGTCGTACATGAACAGGGACGTGGACACCATCATATTTGTTTCGTGGGCCCATAAGCTCGTATGTCAGACCAAATGGCTCGGGGTTGGGGTCGCCGTTTTGCTTCTGTTTAAGAGCAAGCAAGTAGTTGGTGGCAACTCCCTTGAAGGGGTCACTACGACCAGGAATCAACTGATTCTCAACAACAGCCGTGATGGAGATCTTCTTGGGTTGAACAAGAGACGATGACGAGATCGAATAGTAACGGGGCTGCAGCTTATTCAGACCCTCAATGAAAGCAGAGAACGGAACGCTAGGCCATTTCTTGCCCCCGCTGACAACGCTAAGGGTTCGAGATATGTTGTAGTGGTTCTTGCTGATCTTGTCGTGGAAATAGTCCTTGTCGCCTCCAAGCTTAATCATTTCAGCCTTAGCATCCTCATCAGGAGCAAATGCAGCCAGAGTCCCGAGGAACTGACGGGAAACAGGAGCACAGATTTCGAGATGGTACCGTATGATAGCGTCAAAAGTCGTAGGAGTAGGGAAGGGGACCTTGGCAGTAGGCTCAAGAGCCTTGACACTAATAACAGCATCTCTCTTGTCCTGCAAGCCCAAGATATTCAACATTTCGTCGACCTCTTGACCAGGGTTAGTCGGCCAGACCGCAATGTGGTCTCCAGTCTGGTATGTCAGATTAGATCCACTAATATCGACCTCCAAGTGAAGGCAGTTTCGGTCTTTAACGCTAAACAGTTCCTTGGACTCGGCAATGGGCGCAATGTAAGGGTTATGGGCGTTGAATGGACCCTTGGCAGTCCCTTCGAGGTGCATCTTGTTTGGCTCTCCTAGATATACCTCGGAAGACTCCTTGGTCAAGTTGTCACGCTCAACGATGCCGAAGATTGGTTCGTAAACGGCCTCACGCTCTTCCAAGCCCATCTTCTCTGCCAGTGCAGCCCACATGGGATCTTTCCAAGCCAAGAAGTCTTCTTCCATGGTGCCGGCACCGTCATCACCCTCTCCGGCTTCGCCGACTCTGTGAGCACCGAGCTTCTCCAAAGCCTTGTTGACATTGCGGACCATAGAGTTATAGTGTTCATACGTGTTGTTGCCCAGACCGAACGCAACGTATGTTAGGTTACCAAGAGGCGGGTCGTTCGAATTAGAAAATGAAGGCTCGTCACCCGTAATAAATTCGTAAAAGTCAACGGCGTTATCAGTAGGCTCGCCTTCGCCGTAGGTCGCAAGAACAAACATGGCGACCTTGTCTTCGGGGAAGGTATCGAGATTATCGAAATCATACTCTTCCAAATCGGCAACCATGGTCTCGAGACCGTATCGGCTCTTGCCTTCTTTAGCCAACCTCGAGGCGTAGTCTTCGGCGGTACCAGTCTGCGAACCGTAAAAAATGACACAGTTCTTACCCGACTCTTCCATCTTCTCCACGATATTCCTCGTCTTCCCGGCTTTGGCGCCGGCGCCATTGGTGTTGGCGAACGACGAGGCGTATGGGTCTTTAGTTACCCCCCATAGCTTGCCCTTTGTGAAATAGGCAGCCGTGCCTAGCAGAATAACCGCGAGGACAACGATGTCCAAGGTATCGAGTTGCGCCATGTTGGCAAGTTCACAATAAGTGTCACTACAATGGAATGTGTGGCGGGGCTTTGCGGCAGTTGAGTCAAACGAATGCGTGGTTATTAGCAACGATTCGGTTGATAGGAAGACTTCGAATACAGATTGAATTAGCAATGTGGTACTACCAACCAGCTGCGGACACCTTGACGTACTGACAGTAGCAGTCGTGCACAGGCTGGCTCGGGACAGGATTTGTGGATGACACCGCACGAGGACTCACAGCAAGAATAAGTATCAAAAGTCCAACCCAGGCCAGTTGGGAACAAAATGTCCCAAAATATCCTCCAAGTGGATTTGCCGAGCGATCTGTCCTATGGGCGGCAGGGGTTCGGTTTTAAATAGCCCTACCTACCTGTCTAGCCAGAGAGGGGCATGTGAAGGAAAGAAACAACTACGCTGAGCGGCGTTGGCTCGGATGTGAAGCGATGCACGCAGAAGGAAAGGTGAAGAAGAAAAAGACCTCGATAGAGAGGGCTGGGTTCCTCGGGCCCGGCGAAGTCGATGTCTCGAGTCACGGGTCGGTGGAATTGGCAGAGACCGGGACGGGGGGGAGGGAAGAGAAGGGAACGTGGAAGTGTTGGAGGAATCTCGCTGATGGTGGCATCGGTGAGTTTTCTACTATTTGCTGCACCAACAGTGTCACCAAGAAAACGCACGATAAGGACAGCCTGGACAGGTACCTTACTATACCTAACTTATGGGGCTCAGCGGGAGACTACCCAGGTCGGTAAGTACCTACCCGGTGTACTGTCCCAAGCACTGTCGGCACACCCAAACGCACCCGACGCACCCTCGCCAATGCCGAATTGCCCCACTGAGACACTGTAGTTCAGCCCTGGAGCCCTGGAGCCGCCGGCTTGGGGGCTTGCGACTGGGGGACTTTAGGTACCTTACTTTGGGGGGCAATGTCGTATACCAGTGGTGCCATGCGGCCAGGCTGGCTGGCCTGTTACATAAGTACCTATTATTACTGGCAGATATGTGCAGCAGGGAGATAAGGACTAATTCAACATCATTAGAGTCAGGTAAGTAAGTAAGTAAGTAAGTACAGTAATGATTGATTATCTTATGCATCTCTCTTGGCGACGTGTGGCACGGTTACATACCTAGATCCACGATGGGTTTATGATTTATTTTTGGGAGGGTTAAGCTGCCAGGCTGAAGTTGTCAAATTACCAGCGACAGCCCCATCCTGTACGTACCTAGACGGCTATATTATCCTGTTTGATAGGTATGGTCATGTTCATGGTATACGTCAAAGTGTCTACGCTGTGTCAAACCTCTACATGTAATTCCCAGAGATTCATCCCACGCTACGTGTTTAGAAGTAGGTATTGTAGATACCTCCACCTGGTTCGAGTGTGCATCCTTGACTTCAACTTCTTGCAATCTGTCCTTACGCTACATGAACAGTAGCGATTCGCCGATGTGGTGCCATTATCTTTAGCCCCCCTTTTCGCAAATCATAGTCCCAGATCCTTCGTCTCTCAGCCACTTAGCAGCTAAGCTCAACCGCATATCTTACTCATCATGCGGCTAACGCATGTTTCGTCCTTGCATTATTCGGAAGAGAGGGTACAAGCCTTGACAGACCTTGGCGAAATGCTAGGTATCACTTATAAGTTATAGCCCGCCTCGGACCTACCGTAATCGACCATTTAGACACCACTGCCGGAGGTTTTTTTTAATTATTTTTTATTACTTAATTATTTTTATTTTTTGCTTCCTTTGGTGAGGCGATTTGTTTACTTAGGTGGGTTACCAGATCACTGGATCTTCGGGCGGTGGTACAAAGGTAGGCCTTCTATCATAGAGGCGCGATTACGGGGACTTATGACATACCGCTCATTCCCGGCAAACCTCGCTCCCCCCGAAACCCCGATGGCATACAATGCCTGGCAGTTGGGTTCGGAAACGCTGGGACCAATAGCGGACGCAGTACATGAACCCAGTGTTTCCTCCGGCAGTTCCTGATCTGCATTAATTGCATTCCATCCGTTTCTAGAAAAAATCTGACCTCGGACGGAACCTCGGAGCTGGGAGAAGAGGATCGTGTCTAATCGTGGTATCTGTTGATGGGCCGATTTTCTGATGGCGAGTGGGACCGAGGAATGAGTGAGACATTACTGACCATGGCACTGCATCGACGGATCTGGACGGACAAGGTTCGAACTGACTGCTTATATACGTCGAGGTGCAAAAACTGGCGCAATAACCATAATTCGGGTTCTCTCTCTCGGTCACGGTGGGCACATGTGAATGTACCGATATCGCAACACCGAATCCGAAAGTGTGCCGGGCTGCATAGACCCACGGCATATTGTGCACGATTCAACTGAGTTGTGCATTTGACAAGAGAACTGCCGTAGGTCGACGTCGGCTCCTGAAATGTAAATAGTACAGGCCCGCCCCGTTAAGCCCATTTCGTATTCGTATTTGCCGCCGGCATTCGGGTCGTCTGAAATTAACCCCATTCCGTGAACACTGGAGCATCTGGATTTATCTACGCGAGCAGCAAGACACTCCTTAAAGTGTTTTGCGCATCATGGTGACTGACAGTTGCCCACAACGGTGATTCAAAGTTTCCCCTTGCGTTTACTTGCATAGGTACAGATGGCATAACCCTGCAAGCCGACGATGTCGAGATGTATCACTAGCTTGACTTGGGCAAGTTTAAGTCTGGGACCGTGGGCGAATAAACTCAGACTAACGGACACCAAGGTCGGCTCCAGTACCACCCCATGGGTATTGCCAGTCCGTGTTTACTAGGTATGTAGACAAATACACTGGCGAGGCTGGCAACTTGTACTAAGATAGACGGTATACGTGATAAAGCGAACCCTCATCTCCATTTATAGTTGAAATAGATATCAACTGGCAGTTATCAAGGTATCCGTTAGGGTGCTGCGTTCTGATAATCGATGCTACGTGACGTACCATTGCGTACATACATGATGCTGTCTTTGATAATCGGCTATTCTGATCATCGTCCCGTGGTAGTTTCCAAGTGTTTCGCCGCTATTTTATATATACGCATGTGGCGAGTAAAGGAAGCGAATGTTAACCAATAAATAGAAAATTGGAACTGTGAGCAGAAAACACTTCTACAACCTAGGTACCTAGTATCTACAGACTGCAGTACGTAGGTAGTAGGCGTGGTCCCTTTCTCCAGACTACCTACACTAAATTGGAAATCGCCGGATCGCTCTGTTAGGACGACATCATTCGCTACCACCTAGATGCTCAAAGAGAATTCAAGATTGATGGGTACAATTTATAGTTATACTTTATATGGTTATATTCATTATGAATTTCTTGTTAATGCTTTAAAACCAAATGCAGAATTCTCTAAGCACTTAAGTATGGAGCCGAAGATTGTGGTGTACGAAGTAAGCTGACGCAAGAGCTCAGTCTTGCGGCGGCGGGCTCCGATGAAGATTTGCTGTACGTACTAATCGCAAGATACCTATACCTAGATAGGTACATGTAAGCACCATCGGCACCCAAATTTTGTGAAATTTTGTGATGCGACTTTGTGGGATAGCAACTCCCAACTTGGCTCAAGAGGAATGCATACCTTGGCTCAAGAGAAAAAAAATCACCAATAAAGACACTATCTGACCAGGCAGTACCGAGGTGTCCATAATGGTACTGACCACGTGCTATTAATTGGCCCAAGATCTCAGTCAAGCACTTTAGCCGTTGACCATCCAGATAGCTTTGTCTACGAAGTACTGTATTGTCACTTTTTTTTTTTTTTTTTGGTAACTCGAGAGATGGATTTCGTAACACCACAAGCGGTGTGGCACTGGTGCCTGGACACAAGCTCCAGCTAACCCTGATATGCCATTGGCCTGATCATCAACGCTTGACGTTACCCACGTCACATGTAACAGATCCGAAAGTCTCTTCACCAATGCACAAGCCACCTTTGACGGCAGTCCAGCTATATTATTACCCATCCTAGCGAAGACGAACAAAATTCGAGGAACAAGGGCCAATAGAAATCCTGACCATAACTAGGCACTATTCCGCAGTAGTGTCAGGCTAAGCTATTGTGGACAGAGTCTACTAACCCAGTGTAGATAGACGGCAGACATCTCTGTGGTCCCTACCTGCAGCTGCCATGCTACCGGGTAGGTACCTATGTAGAGGTCGGTATCGAGAGATTCATTTTATCTACTAATCTCCGGAGTATTCATCATCCATCTCTCTATTTGCTTGCTTGCTTGCCTGTATTCTTCGTCATCGATCGTGGCATTAGCGATTTCAAGTCGTCTCTTCTACGCTCGAACTTAAGGCTGGACGCAAACTTCGTGTTTCGCGTCAACACATTACCCTAGCCAGCGACATATCATGGACGCGGTTTGATAACCATGGGTGAGTTCGGCTCTGTGTGTGATTGACTTCCTAGACTTGGCTGGTGCGGGATTCACTGGTTGCCGTTGGTCGCTGGCCGCTCGTGGTGATAGAATGGCATTGGATGGTGTCTCGACGCTTCGGATATGCTTGTTGCGCAACCATTACCATCGCCGCACCCCAGCGGGCACCGACTTTTACCTTTGAGATCCCTCCGCCTCGATGTCGTCCTATGCTGCCCCTCCCACAATTCCCCCATTCTCCATCCACTGCCGGGCTGCTGCATGCCTGCTCCACGTCGCGCGATCTTTATTTGCATGTCCCCCGGCCCTATCGCATGTGCAGTTGTGTCGCTGCTGTCGTGCTCCTTCACCATCGTCCTGTTTCACAAGAGAGGGGACGCTCCCTGTGTCCCTGCGCCCGAGCACGCACTCCCATGCCGCCGTCCCCTTTGCTGACTCCCTTGTCGCATTTTGTAGCTCCGTCCCAAAAGACGCTGCCCGAATACCCTCCTCGTTCAGCCTCGCGTTTGAATGCCTACGACGAAGATAACGATGCCTGGGAAAACACCTTGAAACCTTTACCCCACGACCCAGCTGTGAACCGTGCCATTGCCCATTCTCGCGAGTCGTCTCTCGAAAAGCTCCAGTCCAGCGGGCTCGCTGGGATTCCCGAATCACCCCGATTGGCTGTATCGTCTGCTGTCCTCGGCACTCGCGCTGCGACTTCTCGTTCAGGTGCTGGTGCTATCATTGAGCGAGTTGTAGATCCGAAAGCAGCGACGTATGGACACCACCGCCAAACTTCCATTGTACATGGGATCCAGCATTCGCGGAATGGCAGTCTTAGCTCTTCTTCGAGTCCCCTCAGTCCGCAGATGATAGCCGCCGCCGGGGCTGGCCTCATACCAGAGCGATTGGATATGCGGCAAGAGGCTGATGCATCGGTTGGCTCCCGGCCGCCTACTGCATTATCGGGCTCGACGGCCTTGTCTTCAACAAACCCACTCGAAAGAACCCCGTCTGCTTCAGAGATGAACAACGGCGCCTTAACGCACACTGTAACCCAGAAGAAGGTTGAACGTATGCATAGCAAAACTCGCCGCGACCATGGACATCATCACTCTCATTCATCGAGGCACCCTCGAGACGACCAACAGAAAACAGTGGGGGAATATGCCCTACATGTTTTATTTACCTCTGTTTGTTCTTGCCTCATGCTAACTCTTGATTAAAATTGCGAATACTGATGATGGAGGTCTAGTTCATCGCGCACGCCGAGGAGAAACTCAACGAGAGTGTAACGATTCCTTTCGATCCTGAACCTAGGATTGAAAGAATTTGTGGTCCTGGCGCTGACCCAACTTTCGATCAATTTATTGTCGCCCTTGGTCACATTGCGCGACCAAAGCCAAAGGCGCTGATTGATGCAATCATGCTGTGGAGGAAAACTAAAAGCGAGGCAGCTAGCGATGCACGCAGCAAACTGCAGCAACTAAAATCCACCCAAGCTCCCCCAAGCCTAATAAGACGTAATACAGAACCAGTTCAAGTGTCGTTGGCTGCTGGTCTGTCAGATACTGGGAGCTCCGGCGCGTCGTCTTTAGCAGCAAGACAGGAAGTTGTAGAAGCTGAGAGACGCTCGATCGTTTCTATTTATATTTTGTGCCGGGTCCTCCTAGAAGTCATTTCACACAGTAGTCTAAGTTCCATAATGCCCGAAATGGAAGAGAAGCTTGAAGGCATCATTTTTGGCCAGCTTAAGATTGCTGAGGTCGAACAGCTCGAAGCTTCTCCTCTCAAAATGGCCAACTGGAACTTGTTTACTCAGCTTCTGGGTGCCATGAGTAACATCAACTTTGCGAGCGTCGCTGAACGGTTTATACGTGACCTTCGTGGCTCTTTACAGGAGCTTGCTACACGCACTTCGACGCCCCAGACCAAGGATCCTGAAGGCCAAGTAGAATTGGTTCTCGGCGGTATGACCCATCTGCGGATTAAGATAGATACAGAAGAAGATTGGGATCAAGCTTGCAACTTCTTTGCCTCTCTAGGTCGACTATTTGCACAGTCACATGGCCAGAGAATCAAAACAGCTTTTTGTCGCATTCTTGACACGCTGCTGCTTCCCATTGCAGCCAAGGGCACCAACAATCACTTCATGCATCCAAAGTGGCAAGAGGTCTTGAGCCATATTAGCCCACGGTTAGCTTCTATGTTCGTCAAACCACGATACTGGCTGGTGTCATTTCCATTGACATCCACAATGCTCTGCGTATCCCCCCCAGAGCCGGCTAGCACCCAATGGCTTCAGCTGGTTCGTACTTTGCAGACTCGGCTGAAGGACAAGCAACTAAGACCGCACTGCTTACTGGCAATTTCACGTTTGCTTTGGACATACCTTTTCAGGATCAATGATACAAGTGGCACCGTTGCACGCAAGTTGGATGAAGTTATACAGCTTGTTTTGCCATCCACTAAACGCACCTTCTCGACTGCTGATACTGCTTCGAATGGCTCTCTTGTTCAAATCATCAGGATGATCGGATATAGATATACTGAATACTGCTGCAAGAATATTATCTTCCCATTAATCAATGCCGAGTTGTTCAATTCTAACAAAGAATTGAAGGTTGAGCAGCTAGAGCCTGATAGGATGGTCATTGGAATTAGGGCATTCTTGACAATCATGTCCGATCTTGAACAAGGCGAAAAGGGCCGGCCGCCATTTCCACTAGAATTCCAGCCCTCTTCAGGCTTTGATCGCATGCCATTTGAGCCACCAATATCGTCATCTGGCTCTGGCATGCCCTCGGCCAATGCATTGGCGTCTACCACTGGTGAGGCTCTATCGCGCCCTGTTCAGCTGAAATCGCTGAATGAGGGCGTCCGTGACTACTATAAGAAATTTTCTCAGATATTAGGTAAAATCACGATTATTTGTGATAATACATTCGGAGGACAGGCCGTACTTGATGAGAAATTTAGTAGTCCTGGCCCTAAGACGCCCATCACTGAGTCATTTAATTTTGCAAGACGGGATGATTACCAGAGTCCAGCTGACCAAAAGCAGGCATTCTATGGATTACTCCATGTCGCTGTACAAGCTTTGCCTCGCTGCTTTACCCCTGATATACCATTTAATCCCCTCATCAACCTTTTGTGTACAGGCACAGCACATGTTCAGGATAATATTGCGCGCTCTTCAGCTCAGTCACTCAAATCTATCGCTAAACAATCTCATGCTCATCAAGTTACAATGGGGTTCGCTAGGTTCATTTTCAACTTTGACGATCGTTACGCTACAATGTCAGACGGTGGAATGCTAGGTCCTGGTCATATCGAAAACACACTGCGGCTCTACGTGGAGTTGTTACAAATTTGGAGGGATGAGATTAGGCAAAAGACACGAGAAGCTGCTTCTGAACCTATAGAGGCGAATGCTAGTGAGAAGCGTGGATTGAAACTGGATCTGTCTAGTATATGGGCAGAAGTTGATCATGTCGAGGCTCGCGGTTTATTTTTCTTATGCTCACAGTCTCGGAGAGTGAGACATTTTGCCATCACGGTACTGCGACTTATAACTGAGTTCGATACGGCACTGGGTAAGGACAGGGCGCAAGAAAAGGACAACGTGCGTCTGATCGACATCCTGGAAAATGACTCCATCCAAGTCATGAGCTTTAAAGACGAGCTTCTGTCTGTTGCCGAACGAAGCAGACTTCAGCGAGGAATACAAAACGCCAACAATAAAGGCGCCTTGATTGAACTTTGTACGAGTGATGTTTTGTACGACACCACATTATGGTTCAAAATCTTCCCAAATTTGATACGGATCGCATATGACCGATGCCCGTTTACGTTGACCATTGGTCGGGACTTGATCTGCAATCGAATATTGCAAATGTATAAAACCATATATACCTTGTCGGAACCTAGCAGAGGTCTGTATCAAGGCTCTGATCCAGCTAGCGCTCGCCAGACAGCACGAACACCCACCACGCAACCGGAAGTCTTGATTGAGCAATGGAAACTGTATCTGACTTTCGCCTGCACTACCTTGACTGATGCAGGAAATTCGCTCAACGGCTCATCCCAAGGTAATCAACATCAGAGAAAGGGATCGAAAGTGACTGATCGCATTGTGACGGCAAGGACCCTGTTCAAATATTTGATTCCACTGCTGTCCGTTTCTTCGGACCTCGTTCGTGAAGCAGTGGTGCTCTCAATGGGGTCGATCAATGTCCACATTTATCGAACGCTGCTGGACGAATTACAAAGTCATGTAACTCGATGCAGTGAGGAAGCTCGAGCTCGACTACACCAGAGGACCAACAGCGGATCGAGGCGTAACCGTAAGATGGATCTCTTGTGGACTGAGCTGACCCACATCTATAAGCTCACATCTCACTTCCTGAAGAACCCTGATGTGTATCAAAACGAATGGATACTGAATAATCTGTGTACTTACGCCCGAGACTTGAAGCTCTTCTTAATGGATGGAGAGGTACAGAATGACTGGGAGTTTCAAAAACTACGACGGCACTACTGCGGGTTAATGGAAGAGTTGTTTGAGGGGATTAACCGTACGCCTGACCCCTCTCGCTGGGTAACCTTCGAATCCCGCAAATCTGCTTTCACTTTGATGGAGGACTGGTGTGGCTTCTCGCCAAATCAGCAACAGATCCGCGCTAGAGAAGATAACATGCGAAAATCAGTCATTGATCAGCAGTCTCTTAGCGAGCGAGGGGTGATCACAGCTGCTATAGAGATCGAGAAACGAAATTTGAGAACTGCCGCCCTGAGTGCAATGGCCGCCTTGTGTGCTGGACCAGTCAGCTTTACAACCGAAAGCGGCGCCATCCTAAGATTTGATCTTAGACGTATGGTTGCATGGATAGATGCGATATTCAATTCTGGAAGCGATCGAGTAATTGCGATAGGAAGGCGAGCTTTGAAGAATCTGATCATTTATAACCAATCAAACCCGCACCTATCCGAGCACTGCGTAGCACGTTGCTACTTGACAGAGACTCCAAAAGTACAGCAGAGTTATTTTACCGTAATCACGGAGGTTCTACAGGAACACCCTGACTACCCAGCACCGTTCGCGAAATTACTGGGCTTGTGCCTATTCATGCTCGGCAACGATGTCAGTGAGACTCGTTCTAAATCTGCACGAGTCTTGCGAGCGCTTGAAGAGAGACAACAAGCTGGTCGCAGCTCTAAGATTCAGGATTTTGACATTAGCATTTCGGATAAAACGAAGGCTGTATACAAGCTAGCCCAGTTTGAGATCTCCAAGAGGCTCGCAAAACAACATCCGGAACTTGCGTTTCACATCTTCTCCGAATTCACATATTATTTCAAGAGTCTACAGCAAGGAAGTCAACGGAACGTTGTAGCAGTTGTTCTCCCGTGGATTCAAACTATCGAGCTTAAAGTTGATCCTAATGGCGGACCAATAGCCCAATCATATGTCCTTCTCGCCAACCTGCTTGAAATCACAATCAAATCAAGTACTGCGTTACACAACGAGGTTCAAGCCTTGTGGCAAGCCCTTGCAACGGGGCCTCATCCCGGAAATGTGCGGCTTGTGCTTGACTTCATCATTTCGCTTTGCCTAGAACGACGGGAACAAAACTTTGTGGAATATGCTAAACAGATCGTTGTATTTCTATCAAGTACTACAACTACACCAGGCAGCAAGGTTGTTGAGTTCCTATTGATGCAAATTAGCCCAAAGGCTATGGTGCCCAATGAGAAGAAAGAAGCTGTTCCACCGCCTCCGGACATCAACCTATTGCCGTACTGCGCTGATCTATCTGAGGCGCTACCAGTTGGCACCAAACAAGCTGGCCTCTCACTTGGACAATTGTCTCTTATCCTTTTAGTTGACCTAATGGTCGCCCCAGCACAGCTTACGGCGGACAGTCTTCCCCTCCTACTACAAGTCGTGACTGTGCTATGGGATCATTATACGCCTCTTGTACAAGAACAGGCACGCGAGATGCTGGTGCATTTGATTCACGAACTGGTAATCTCGAGGATGGACGACGCTACGTCACCCGAAGTCAAGAAGTCTATAGAAGGTCTCATTGATGCAATACGCCAGCATGACCGCTCCGTTGTATGGAGCTATGAGGATAGCAACGGGAAGGTCGATGAACGTGATAACAAGGTCCCACAAAGCATGGAGTACCTTACGACCGAGGTTGTGAAGACCTTCGAAATCACATTTCCTGGCATCAAAAAGCAGTGGAGTCGATTATCATTGACTTGGGCAACCTCATGCCCTGTTCGCCATCTTGCTTGCCGTTCATTCCAAATCTTTCGCTGTATCCTCACTTCTGTTGACCAAACTATGCTAGGCGACATGCTTGCACGTTTATCGAACACAATTGCAGACGAAGACTCGGAGATTCAGACATTTTCCATGGAAATACTCACCACACTGAAGACGCTGATAGTAAAACTTGAGCCCGAGAAGCTTATGTCATATCCACAGCTGTTCTGGACTACCTGTGCCTGTCTAGAATCTATCAATGAACTTGAATTTCTCGAGGCTGTGGAGATGCTTGACGAATATTTGGAGAAACTGGATTTTGACTCACCGAGTGTACGACGAGTCCTACTAGAAGGGCAACCTCTTCGCTGGGATGGTGTCTTCGAGGGTATCCAGCCTTTGCTTTACAAGGGGTTAAGATCATCGGTATGCCTTCAACCTACCCTCAACTTGATGGATAAGCTCGTACAGTTGCCAAGTGATGCCCTTATTGGTGATGACAACCGACTCTTCTTCTCCATCATCGCAAACTTTCCCAGATTTTTACAGGCCATGGAAAATCACCTTGTCGACGATGGAACGAGAGAGTCAGCGGAGATACTGTTTGCAGTTGCAGAAGCGCAAGGGTTCACGCTGATATGTGATGCCTTGGCAATGATCATCAACTCAAGCTTCCATTCGGAGCAGGATATGGTTGTACGGCTGTTTGCTGCCATACGTGAATTCTTCCTACCTCAACTCGAACTAAAGATGCTTACGATGCTCATCGGCTTTGTGACAAACAGCATACCTTCAGTAAAGCTTATGACCATGCGGATTCTCTGTGTCGTTATACCTGATATTGAGATGCGGAAACCCGAGATGGCTGGACATGGGCCTGACTTGATTTCCCCTCTTCTTCGTTTGCTCCAAACCGAGTATTGTATGGAGGCACTGGCTGTGCTCGACAATGTGGTTGCGGTGCCAGGGTCATCCATGGAAAAACACTACCTTCGTATGAGCATGACCCGTTCGTCGTCCCGAGCTATTAAGAAAGAGTATGAACGAACGCAAAGCTTGTTTGGAATCCCTGAGGAATCTGGCTGGGCGATCCCAGCCCCAGCCAAGAAAACCGATGCAACCAGAGGCAATATACATGCCGCATTTTACATGTGCCAGGGTGAAGCAACAGACGGAGTGCCGACAGAACCGACTCCAACGCCGGATGTCGAATTTCATGCAGATGACTATCGATACGGATATTTCGAACCGCCCGAAAGGACCGAAACCATGATGTCAGACGATATGCGAGGTGAGGGACATATGGGTGATTTAGTCACCAAACTAGATAGCTTAGATGACTTCTTCGATGATATCTCGGAAACATCTCCGAGTGAAAGTCGTTCGTCCAGGACAGTCACTGAATTCACTCCCGACATCTATGAATCTGGAGCAAGACTATACGACGATGTCTTACCTATCCTGCATCAAGCGCATCAGGCATCGAACAATACTTCGTTTCAGAATGGGTTTGTGGACCGACCGCCCTTGCCCAAAGATGTCAACGCGAATACCATGAATCCCGGCGCCTTCAACAACACCGCTGCCGCGCCATCATCAGCTGCGCGGCCGGGATTGCATGCCCGCTCCGTCACGTCGCCATCGATGCCTGCTTCACATCAACAGCAACTCGCCGACTTCACCTCCGACGAGGAGTTGACCGAAGACATCTTCTCGGACGGCGAGGAAGATCGCACCAGAGCCCCGGCAAACGTGCCCTCTGAGAACTCGTTCTTCCTCGAGAATATGATCAAGCCTATCAAGCAGACGACGAAGACACACATGCGTCGTCTGACGGGCGGTCGATCCCGCGAGACTGATCGTCAGCGCGAACTCTTCCGTGCCGCGCAACAGGTCTCTCCCGTGCCGAAAGTGCCGAGCACATTCCTGCAGCACAAGCCGAATCCCTCGGGAGATATGGTTTGAGCTAGTATATCTGGCTGGACAATGAGACCCTGGTCACTACTCCACCGCGCTGTAATAAGAGTCGATATTTTCTTCTATTAGATGGTCGGAGAGTCTATCAAGATGATGCGAATAAGCTTCGTTGGAAGTTTTGTTTCCTGTTGCGCCAATTATGAAAGGACTTTGTACATCCACGGTTCTACTAGCTATGAAATCTACGACGGAGTTCGATAACATGTATGTAACATATAACGAGAATAGGACTTTGATAGTCAGATAATTTGATGGATATTGATTAGGGTGTTGACATGCTCAACACGAAATTGTATGTGGTCGCTGGTTACTTCCGGTGTAATTATGCTAGGGACTAGATGTGTAAGTAATAATTATAGGATATGTTACAAACCCCGTCCAGTAGATGATACAAATAGCGTATCCACCAGTCTCGATTGGTCTAGTGGTGAGGATACCTGCTTGTCATTGAGTACTCGTCTAGCTTCTAGTTCAAGCACCAAACATGCGCAGGTGGCCGGGGTTCGATTCCCCGATCGAGAGTTTTACTTTTTGTTCTTGTTGGGGTGTACTTTGTTTACCGATTAGCTTGGATATTATACGAGTTAAGTCATTATAATGTGACTGGCTTTACGGGATTTGACAGGTAAGAGACAAACCACGGACAAACGATAAATGATCGTTGATTACATCTACGCGGACCATGACATGGCAGAGTGGAGGTTGAAGACACTTAGGGGCATACATAGGCAAGTTACGGGGACAGGGGAGATGGGCGTACCTGAGAAGCACGAGGGACATCACTAGCATCTTGGAAAGAGGCGGATTAGCAACTTCAGGTATATAAACAGATATTCATTGATTGTGAGACCAACCCTAATAAATCTCCCGTGTGAACCACACTACCCATCTGTCTTCTTCACTTCCATGGCTCGCTCGACGATATTCGAGCCTTGAGTAACATTTATGGAATGTTGACTTGTAGGAGCGAGTAGTCGGAGGCAACAGGTCGAATGAACGTTTACCACAAGAGTGCCGCCTCACCGCCACCAAATAAAAGAGATCTAGTAACGGTAGCGTGTAGAGTAGTCCTTGGGGCTCACGACGAGACCACGACCTTTCTTAGCGCCACGGTAGACAGTCTCAATGATATCGATGAGTTCTTGTTTGTCCTCTAGGACAAAGTTGAGCTTGTTGTTGTTACCGGATCCCAGATCCACCATAATCAATTTGTTGCGGAAGAAGAACATGATGGTCATTGGATCATACAATTCGTACCTTGAAGGTGAAGTGTTAGTAACCTATGTCGGAATGGAATATTATGGCAGTGTAAGAACACGCAGGCTTGGGGGCATTAAAAAGCTCGCTGGCAGAGCCAAGACAGTATTACCCCGCTCCACACACTAAATATGAAAGCAAAGGAAACTAAGGAAGATCGCTTACATGACATTGAAGTCTGGAACTTGTTCATTATCGCATAAATATATCTAAGATGAAGTTAGTATCGCTAAGAACCTGTTTATCATTGCAGATGCGAATGAAATATAGTGGGTAAAAGACTAAATCACTGAGCACCAAATAGTAAGGGTAACTTACGACTGCAAAGTTCTTGACCTTGTCTGCGATGCGGTATAATACCTCATCCTGACGCATACAGTCCGGGTCGCTATCCTGTACAGACCAGAAATCAGCAATCAGTAGAGCTGCGCACAGGTTCTAGGCGGTCTCCCTCCATAGAACCTGGCAAGGCTGTGGATTGGATGCGTACTTTGCCGAACCGTAGAACTATGTTCAAAACAGTCAGATTTTCCTCAGAAAGGCCGAAGGTGGCTGACAGAACGACTTACCGACAACTCGTTCTTCTTCAGATACTGCAAAGCAGGTTAGTGAAGCTGCCTGACAGTAGTGAAAGGATGAGGGTGACATACGAATTGCCTGGTCCACGTGCCAGCCCGTTAAGAGGTGCGGCCGTGAGGTACGTTAGTCTAGTCATTTATCATAAATTCTCTAAATTATATGGGCAATAATAACCACGTTCCTGGAGCAGAGGTGATACCTACTGTGGCGGGTGTTAGCAGATGACAACAGTATAGCGGATCTTGACACATACCAGTACAAAGGACATTTTGAAAGAGAATGACGGTTATGAGAGCTATGCAAGTGGTTACCAAATAGATGACAGAAGATGATGGCCTTGTTGGTGATGTTTTGTTTGGTGTTTTGACGATTGCTGGCTGGGACCAAGGATGAAAGACAGGAAGGACGTTGTGTATATTAGGTCAGCGAGACTCCCGCAAACTGCCCAGGCTTAGGCTTGGCGCATGCGTGGGGTCTAGTGGGGGTATGGGCTCCGTCAGTGGGTGGGGATCCGAGGGGCCCTTATCGATGGCGCTATTCCACAAAGGGACAATGCAAAAAGCGGTCTGCGCAGGCAATTTGGACTTTTTCTGAAGCGCATCCAGAGACCCAAGAGAGAGGCGCGATAGTGACCTGTCTGTGACCCAGTATCCCTGTACCAGTAGGTGCAAGGACATACCTACATATATGATGGTTATTTGACCGACACCATCTATCAAAGCTTTCGGGAGGTAGATTGTGTTATAGCTTGCTTCGATGCCAATTGATCTCTGCAGTAATCTGATGGCGTGCTGGTAGTCGGAAATAATTCAAGCTAGGTACATACCTGTATCAGTACTCGAGACCTTCCAGACGTGTCCCTAGTCAAGTCCCTCCCTTTTCCCTAGAACATGCGGTTGAGAAGCCGATCGCATTTCATAACAATACATCATGGCGAAACGCAAATCTTACGGAGGTGACGGTATCCACGCCGGAAAGAAACAAAAAACAAGCCACATCCACGAAGCGCCCACCTCAGAGGAAGTATATACTGCGCGGCAACTCCGTCATCTGCTCACTTTCGAACAAGACCTTCAAAAAGCCAGACATGGTAAGCGAAAGAGAGTCATCGGCCCCTTCAGATACAGTGCTAACTATTCGCTTTCTGCGCTACCAGGCCTGCAATCGTTCAAGAATGTCCTCGACAGCATCGTGAACAATGACGAAAAGAAGTCAGAGCACATGCAGATCCTCCTCGAGTTCCTCGAGTCCTCGAAGCCCAGAGAAATCGAAGATGAAGTGCCCGTATATCTACCCGATATCATGGAAACATGGAGCATGGCCTCTCAGATGAACAATGAAAATGTCATGTCTGCTGTGCCTGTGGTGTTGGCGCTGTTGCTCAAAGTAGTATCTGCGAACTTGGACCAGGTGTCTTACGGACTCGGAGTCTGTCGCACTCTGCTTCAAAAGCGCCAACAAGAGTTGATAGCCAGAAATCTCTCTGCAGATAAAGGAAAGGATTTTGTCATATCGCCTACCTTGAGGCTTCTTAGGGAGGCAATCTGTTTGGATGGTGGTGCTCTAGCAGCTCCCATATTTAGGGCCAGAATCAACACTTTTAGGTCTCTTGCCAGGAACCTGGGCCTCAAATATATCGGCAGCGGGAAAGAAGACCCCAAGAGAGCCTCTGTGAGAACCAATGCCACGCGATTGCTCCTGAGCTGTTTGAAACTTTTACACAATGAAGCGAAAAGGGACTTGTTGTTGCAGCGAGATATCGTAGCAGCGCTTATGAGACACCTGCGAGACGATCCGCCTTTCCTGATTTCCGAGATATTGGATGTGTTGAAAACTTCAGTGGTGCAAGACAAGAAATTAGCCAAGGAGGTTAAGATCAAAATACTTAACGCTTATTCGCTCACTCAAATTGCGTCCTTGTACGGATATTCCAGGGAGCCTACAGATTCCGAAGATGGAACCGAGACCAGACAACTATCAGTGGAAGACGCAGCTCACGAGATTTTGTTGGCGACATGTACGGACTCTGCAGTGGGGATTTGTCGGTCGCAGCAAGGCTATTATCCTGAAGGCATCGCCGCCGACGCCCTTGTACCCGACACCGAGGGCGCTGATCGTCTAGATTTTGGTCTTGATAGTATACCTTGGATGAATAAATTCACCGACGACGTTCCAGTACGAAACATGCTTTTGGGAGAATTTATCGAGTCGCTAAGACCGTGGTCCAACATAAAACAGAGCGAACTACTCCTTGCCATTTTTTCAGCTTCTCCGGAACTGATTGCTCCCTATTTCATACATAAGAAAACATTCACCTTCGACCCTAAGTTATCTGCCACTTGGATAGGCTATGCTTCGCTGTTATATAGTGTCGTCAAGATGCCCATACCACCCTTCTTTGGGCAGTCCAACGATTACGCAGCGGTCCCACCACCGACATCGGTTGTTCTTGATAATATCATTCCTCCACCTATGACCTTGAAGGCCATAAATAGGTGTTTAACGAACAAGTCTAAACTAATTTCTTTTTACGCGATTCGATTACTCATCGTGGCTTTGGAAAAGTTAGACAGGGCACTGATAATGCACAGGGAGGCGTCAACATCGCCAAACTCGATTTGGCAGGAAGCTTCCCGTCGTCTAGTCGATAACTTTTACCAAAGGATACCAGACATCAAAGATATAATCAACTACTATCGCACATTAGCCGACGGGGATTTCCTTCAGCGCGAGGCAGCGAGTCGGCTAATCCTCCTGTATTACGAGGTTATACCGCAACTAGCCCTCAAAGCAAAGTTTGATGTCTCTCCCATACTTCTCGCTACAATTCAAAAGGTCGAGGCATCCAACGGCGCTGACGAAGATGCGGCTATCTCCTTGCTGGAGTTGGAACACCTGTGTGCAGTAGCTCAATACTCTCCAAGCATGCGATGGTTTGGACGGGTCGCCGAGTTACCAACCTCGCCCTTTACCACACTCCTTCGCCTATATACCGAAAAGACCACTACATTGTCTGGAGACACATTGAGCCAAATCCTTTCATATGTTGCTAACGAATACCAATTGGTAGAGAGTAATTCGCAATCGTCAGGCTTGAATCCGCTTATAGCAGCCTTGAGGAACGCAGGTAGCATCGACTTGACTATTTGGTCGTTTATAGACAACTGTGCTGAGCGATGCTCCAGAACGCCCACAAAATATCTAGAGATGATTGAGCAGCATGTCGAAGGGGTAGATGCTGTCGACCAAACGGACACAAGGACCTGTCCGTTACTCATGTCAATTGCAGAACAACTGCCTTTTCTGGTTTCGACCTCGCCTGCCAAAGAAACCCTCAAGCAGCTTGCGGCTTTTCTTCGAGATTATCTACGTCGTTCCCTCGAGTCTGGTGTTAGTCGGTTATTTTTAAAGTCTATCAGCCGTTTGTTAGTCACTGCTCTGAATGACAAGAAACTTAGTTCCAAAATCACCTTGCCCAAGCGGACTAGTAGTTTAGACGAGGATACAGACATGCTGGAAAGTGAGCCAGAGCCTAAGTTGCAGTCTCCAGCGGAGAATAAGAAGGACTCGGTGATACAACTAAGCCCACAAGAGCTCGAAGATAAGCTCGCAGTGCCTATGTTGATGAGTAAAGAAAATGATCTCCTGAGGTGGTCCAGCAAGCCTCCCGAAGAGCTTGTCGAAGAAGGCCATGGCGCATCCTTGATACTACTCCTTTCCTCTGAGCACGCGAGCATACGCCAAGAGGCGCTTACCAATGTGCTGAAAATGGCAGCCAAGATAAAGGAGTCAACGTATGAGGAGAATGAGCAGATATGGCTGCTCCTCATGGAGCTTGCAGAGTCGGCCAAAGATCTGATTGCCGAGGCACCTCTGCCCAGCATTCTAGTCGTATTCGCGTGTAGGGCGCTGGATATCCTAAAGACACCACTGCATTGTCTTTATGAGAAAGTCAACTTGTTCCTCACAAGCGGGCCAGTATGGCAGCCCAAGAATATACCGCTCCTGAAAGCCATTCTCCAAGAAGGACCGACGTTGGACGGATCCTACTACACGGAAATTAGCTGGCTCCTTGGATTTCTCGTGGACAGCTTGCGGACGCCGCAGGATATCGCGCTGTTCCATCAGCGCAAAGTGTACGAGCGGCTGTTTGCTCTCGTAACTAATCCATACATGGGCATAAATCTTCGTACGCAGGTCTTAAGAGTTCTATATCGTACGACTTGTATATCAGGGGGAAGCGATACAGTCATTACGAGATTCGGTGCAGTGAGCTGGCTTGTAGCTCAGAAGGCGGCGACTGCAGATGGTATGGAGAAGAGGCTTTACCAAGCCATGATCAGGAGACTATGGGAAACCTGCGACCAGAAGCGAATCGCGATATGGAGCAGGGGCACGGTGGAGAAACTCGTCCAAGGTTAGGATAGATTATACATCAATAGTGAGACATTTGAACAACGGCCTAAAGTCCAACCGATGGCCATGAGAGGCGAAGCTTCAACAGTTATCGTTGCCAGAAATATCTAGAATTGACTAGGAGTTCAATCTCAGGTAGGAGGATATGTACATGTAGATGTCAAGGCACTCAGTACTCATGTCTGCAAAGAATCCAACTATGGATGTTGTACACCATCTGTCTGACATTATGTAGATTACAGGCAGATAGCAAAACCTGAACTGAATAAGGCAGCGCTGTCAAAAGTTGTTTGTTTCCCTCAGGCTGCCAACCTGTATGTGAGTACATACATAAGGTTAGGTAGGCAATGTAAAGTACCTCACATGCAGTTCTATACACCATGAACCAACCTAATTATATAAACGTTGTATAATTCACCTTACCTATGGTCTACACATGTGTATGTAGGCATACTACCAGGTGTGCAATCGAAGTGTGTCGGCTGTACCTTGTCGGTACTTACTTAAGATTTGGGTTACTGCAAGGTCAAGTGGCTGATATATGTACCCTATTTGTACCTTTCGAGTATTGGAGTTTGTTAAGTTTTGGTAACTGCCCAAACGCAGTCATCTATCTCCACCTCAATCCAGAGGATGCCACCACCCACCACCACCATCATCATCCAGGTTTATGCCTAGCTCTGTAAGTAAGGGTGTGGTAAGTATACTAAAAGTACCTACACTCCGTACACTACGTACACCAGCCCCATCCATCCAAACCCCCATCGACCCTCACAACAGCCAACAGCCCAAACTCCTTCACTTTCGAGTTCACAACCATCTCGCAACCTGCCTTGCGCTATTATTACTACTACTACGTATCTCACATCGCCTGTTAACCCGCCTTGCCCTACCACGATTACGTATTTTTCGATTACCTTGTCCGAGGCTGCAGAAAAGTTGGATTTCGCGCCCAATTCGCCCACATCCATACATCATCATCAACGATACCACGCGCCGCCCCTGCACTCCTGCACCAACTCGTACACCACTCCTACGCTGAACGGGTCGCCCACATCGCTGTCTCGACTTGACGTCTGCATCTCCCAAACTCTCCCGCCCTCTGTCGGGCCTGCCGAGTCCACGATAGCGCGAGCCAGCGTCGCTCTATCTATCTCGGGCGTGACCAGCCAACCCCCCTAGAGTCTTTCTTGCCTGCAAGTTTGCGACACACAAACTTGGCCTCACCCGAGCCCGTCTCTCATCTCCTCACTCCTCCTCACGTCCACGCCGAGCGCCTTGCACTCGGGCCGTAACTGCAAAAATCCTACTATACATTGTATACTTTGTCCACCCCCACATCCGTGCTTGAGCGCGCACATGCTTGCCTCTCCGGCTTATTCTTCTAGTCTTACTGCTGCTGCAACTCCACCTCGACAAGTTCTTTCGCATCCAACCAGCCGAGCCTCGACGACGAACCGCATCTCTATTCTATAAAAGCCTACACATTCTCTGCACACTTCTTTTACAGCGATAGCGATTGCGGTACTGTTATCGCCGTCTGTATTTCCTATGCCCAGCATCTCGCCTCGTACATTGTAGATAGTATATGCTGTTAGATATCAACTTCCGATGCTATGGCAATACGATATACACCTGAAGAGTTGATACTCCTCCAAGACTCCCCACTATGTGTCAAACCTACCAACCTTCCACCTGCTGAGGAGTGGATGGGGTAAGTAGCAGTCATGTCGTAGATAGCAAGAGGACTGCCGTTGCTAATTGATTTTTCCTCACAGACCTCCGCCCGACAATTTTCGAAACAGCCAAGGAAGTAAGACTGGCCCCGAAAGAACCCGCCACAATGAGTCTGCTCTTCTGGAACAAACCAATCGACGCGCCGGACTCGATAGGCACGCATCCCGAAATAGTGCCAGTATGTTTCGACATCCCACAACTCCTTAACCCAGTGCGCTGATGGTTTTAGATAATGATGAGATAATCCTTGGACCGCCGAGGACAATGTTCAACTCGGCTACGTTATCACGGGGCACGAAGCCTTTCGATGGGGATAAGATCGCTAAAGAGGGCGATACCCGAGAACGCTTCCCGTTCCGTCCTCGCAATGGCGAGAGTGATACCAATGAACGCTTCCGTGACCGAGATCGTGACAATAGGAGTAATTTGCGCCGTCGAGGTGACGGCGATCAAGATAGCGATGGTTGGAACACTGTGAAGTCACGCAAAAGCTTCGGCAATGAAGGTGCGGAGCGCTTTCATGGACGAATTGGTGAGAAGCCTGATCGCTTTGGAGGAGATCGGCGCCCGCGCGAAGGAGAAGATCGTGATAACATTACTGAACGTCCCCGTCGTAACTTTGGCGAATTCACTCGAGAAAAGGAAGGAGACGATAATGACAAGCTTCGCAAGAATGGTTTGAATAGGAATCGCGCAGACAACCCATGGAACAGAGAAAGCAATGAAGCCCAGCAACCACGAGAGCGCTTTGATAGGTCGAAAAGCTGGAGAGACCGCACCGATGATCAGCCGGATTCGCAACATGAGAGACCTCGGGAACGGCAATATGGCCGGTGGGATCGGGATCGGGATCCGCGTCAAGAGCGCGAACCTGAATGGCTCGATGAACCTGCCGATGAACCACCCCAGGCCCACACCCAGGAAGAGTTCAAAAGGTTTATGGAGTCAATGAAGGCCAAAACCACATCTAAAGCCGAGCCTACACCCACATTAGCCCAGGATGTTCTCAAACCACAAGAGGAAGCCGATAGTGATACCGCAAAGCTAAAGCCCATGAAAGCCAGCCATTCTCTCGAATTGGGCAATGATAAATTCTTCGCTGCCTTCGGCCAGAAAACTACGTTGGAGGTAAGCAGCAGTGATATCATTAATGAGAACGCTTCGCCAGCGCCCAAGCCCAAATCGGGATCCAGGTTCCAGAATTTCTTTTCATCTCAGGAGCAAGCCCGTCTTCAGCCAGAGCCTCCCGCTGCTGCTTCTTCTGTTCCTCCACCTGTCGAGGTAAATCCACTTCTTGCTTTGGCAGGTTCGCCGAAAGTCGGCGCGCAACCGGATGCCGCTGAGAAGGTCGCTTTTCAAGCTTTACTGCAGAAGCTTCAAAAGCAGACCCGTCAGGCTTCGACGCCGCCATCGGGTGGATTCGAACCTCCACCAAGCCACGATTTTGGACCGAAGAATGTCATGGCATCCCCAGGTTCTTTCCAACAATTTGGCCAAGATCATCGGGAAGAGCCGATGGCTCGTGGTCTACCCCTTGGACAAGAGATTCATCCCCCACAGCCGCACCAAAACCCCCAGTTTATGGGACTGCGCCCCGAGCAACAGATGCTACACGATCTCATTGGCCAACGCCACCCGGTCCAGATTTTAGGTAATCGAGCAGAACAGCCTCCTAGCCGGAACAGCAACCCTAATTCAGAGTTTCTTGTCTCGCTGATGCAAGGTGGCCGCAATATACCGGAGCCACAAAGGAATGAACAACCGGTTATGAGGATGCCTCAGCCTTCGCGACCCGCCCACATCCCACCAACTCCAGACCGCGAGCAGGACCTTCAACACGAACGTGGCTCCTCGCAGCATCAGACCAATGTTCGACCCGCCGGGCCTCCGAGCTTTTTTGAAGAACCGCCTATGCATCGTCAAGAACGAGAGGCTCGTCCCCAACCCACGCATATCCTACAACGCCCAGGTCAAGGACCTCCCGGCTTGGATCAGATACCTCCGATGAACTGGATGCACCCAGGTGCGCAAAGTGGGCAGCAATTGCCCAACCCTGGTCGGCCTATGATTCCTCCACCCGGTCTCCCCGGCTCTCAACGTCCTGGACCTCTACCTGGTAACTTTCCTAGCTTCCCCATGGGCTTCCCCCCTCCAGAGGGAATGGCCGGCCCCCCTCGCAACATGGCTCCTCCCCCAGGATTCTTCGCTGGTCCTCCCGGGTTTATGCAGCATCCCGGAATGGGTGGCTTCCAACAAGGTCCTGATTCGCTTCAATTTGGTTTTGATGGCCGTGGGATGCCGCCTCCTGGCGCCGGTGGACCATACCGTCGAAACTAGATGATGTTTCGGTACATTCACGATCTTCCCCTTTACGCATGGTCTGTACTTGAGACTCGTATCTTGGTTCTGAGTGTACCAGATAGGGCATGTTGGTGAGATAAAAGGAAACTCCTTGTTACCATCGTCTAGCAGTCTCCATCTCTCTCATCATGAAAGACCCTGTATAGCTGTTGTCATGAATTCATAGGTGGCATAGCAAGTCGTGCGACGGATGGCAATTGGCCGATCTCTTGCTCGCGTTGTTTTCAGATGAGAGAGATGTTGGGCCGGATAGGTTGGGAGAAAGAGAAAGAGAAAGGGGAAGGGGAAATGGGGAGGTGGTTATAAAAATGACATGAGAAAAAATTGAGAGTAAGAGGATTGGAAGGGCTTCTTTCAGTCAGTCGAGTTGAGTCAACTATCAGCGAGAAACAGGACTAGCAGGTAGCGCAGATAACTACCCCCGTAGCTTTAGTCGCTGTTGTCGTAGTTCAATGTAATACCCTCATTCCTTACGCTCAACAAACAAATCGAGGTTAGCCTGTTGCGTAGATGTTTCGCGATTGTGTTACCGTTCGCTGTGAAGGTCGCTACGACGATTAATGAGTGCTGTTGTTGTAGAAATGTACGATGAATTAAAGGAGCGGGGTTGAAGCGGATTTGATCGAATAGGACGTAAATAAGTAAGTCAATAGAGGTAGGCGTATAGAGATTCACAGCATTGCGGACTGCGCGATGTTTACGTAGTTGAATGAATAGTCAAGGCTAGGACTTCTTATTATGATTTTAATAATTTGAAGATTATATATGCCCGATGGGTAAGTAAGTAAGTAAGTAAGTAACTACCTACTTAGGGTAAAAGAAAAGCTTTGGTACACAGGGATACAAGTCTTGAAGAAAGAAGAGAGAGAGAGAGAGCGCGCTTCTCTGGATTGCAAAATACTTAAGTAGGTAGTGTAGAGAAAGAGAATAGAACAGTGATCAGTAGCAGAGTAAGTTCAATCTTACATCCATCCATCCATCCATCCATCCATCTACCTACATACATACATACATATCTATCTCCCTACCTACTTATTTACATATTAAATCTGATATACTTAAACATTCCATCAACAGGCGCAAGTATCTCATTAAGCCTACTAGTGCCTAGATAAGTAAGTAGTCAGTTCGCTCAACGAGTTTCTTTACTATAACATCAGCTTTATAATCATCCACTTTGGATAATATCCAGCTATATACTTTATATAATCGCTACTTACTTACTTACTTACTTAGGTATATGCATAACCAGTAAGCTAGTACCTAGACAACCAGGTGTATGGAAGGGGTTAGGTTACACCAATATGAATAGAAAACCCCGAAGATATAAGAAAACCGAAGTGATTCCAGCGCCATGCGTGATATGTGTCTGTATATACGAGGGGGTTTGTCGAGTATCTAGGCAAGGTGAAGCAAGGTATTAACGAGGTATTATATCGGCACAACTTCGCCCGTTAGTATTCATTTCATTTGATCTCATTTACAAATGTCCCGGCCAGTGGCATCTTGGACTTAGATTTGACAAACGCTAAGCTAAAAGGACCAAACCTATCATGACCACCATCCTCTTCTCTTCCAACGTCATCATAGGTATCGTATATCTGCCAATGCAATGATAACCCCCCTTTTCCCAACCGCTAGTTGGGTAGTTTGATTGGCATAACCGCTCTGCTTATGATGATTTCTTGATACCCAAGAAATTCCGTTTCTTTTTCTCCTTTTCCAGCTTCTGTGGTTTGTCGATGCTTGGGGAAGACCGATGATCAGCAGCAGCACCGTTAGGGGGCCTCGAGGAGCTCAAGTTCATATTGGCCATTTGTTGCGTTGGAGGCGCCGGCGCTCCGGCTATCCTAGGGCCACCGGGTAAGCCTCCTGGCGGTAGCGGCCGTCCCGGTGCTCGCTGGCCTCCGCCTCCTTGCGATGGGCTCGGCGAAGCACCCATAGGTGGGGCAGGACGTTCAAACAGATGTGCTGGTGCAGTCTTCGTTGGACGCTCCAACGGAATGTCCAACTTCCTCTTATCGACACTCAAGTCGCCAACCTGCCTTATGAAGAGCTGTGGCGTAAGCATGTGACTTGTCGCCATGAAAACGTCGCGGTTCATAGCCGAGCCAACTTCATAACAAGCCCGCGACTCTGAGAATGTGGCACCTCCTGCCATGAAAACTATGATACGTTGCCTGTTCTCTGCAACTCTTCTACCAGCACCAGCCCAACTCGGCTTTGCGGCACGCAGTGAACCCTGTCCAATCATCATGTCTTCGTTCGGATCGAGTGGAGGCTTCACATAAGGAAATGAGACCATATCCAATGTACCCCGACAAATATTCTCTAACATCGGTTTCACCGCAGGGTTAAATCTCGACAGATAGCTGTCCTCGGGTATAGGCACCTTTGTATCTATCGGGAAAAGGGGCGGATCGTCCCTTTTCGGTTCCTTGAGACCGTCACGGGTTGTTCGGCCACCGAGTTGCTGTATATTCGCAATGATCTCACCGTCTTGTTGAGGTAAGGATGCATGCGCTAATAGTCTCTTAATGTCTTCGAGTATGACTCCATCTCGATAGAGAAGATACATAATGATGAGACGCAATCGATCCGACTGAGATACGGCATCATCGTCAAGAAGTCGAACAACAGCATCCAAGACATGCTTGGCTTTCCGATTATCCTCGTCTAGCCCGGTTGCCATATTTTGTTCAATTTGTGACATATCCGCTAGTTTATGGTGTTCGAAAATGTTCATGCATTCCTGGGCCATGGTGATATGGAGAGAATACGCTTCCTTCATCTCTGTAAACTGTGGTAGGCCTGCCATCATATCCTTGATGGCATTTATGCTCGTGGTGTCGCTGTTAGCGTCTGTAAAATGCGGGTTCTGATCGAGAAACTTCTGAAAATCGCCCATCAATTTGTCTATAGTGTCTTTCATGTGCTTATGTCGGTTTTCTACCCATACTTTATCCTTGTCGCAGAGTTCGATGTCCTTTTCTTCAGCCTCAGGCGTTCCCTCGTTGAATTTCATGTGAAAGGTAGTTTTATCACCATCTTCAATAGGTAGCAGATCGTGAGCCATAGCCTGATAAGTGAACTCGTGAATTAGAGGCGCCATTAAATCCATAGAACGATCTGTTACTATTAGTACACCCTGAGGCCGTGAGCTCGGCGGTGGGAAATTCGGATTCCATTGAGCATATTCGTCCAACTCATCAGAGATGAAGCGGGCAAGGTGGGAGCATAATACGCTGGCTTCATGTATTGGGTTTTTTGGTCGGTAATATCGTACTTTAGGATATTCACCCAACGACACACATAAACTAGTAATCTGAGATTTGGCCACAAGTCAGCACAATGCGTACAGAATTCCAAAGCGGTATCCCCTACTTTTTGAGCCAAGTCTTCCATATGCTTTTTCACAAGGCCGTTGCAGGCAGGGTGGTATAATATCGGGAAGCTCCACGGGTCTCGAAATGTAATGAGGTGGGATTCGCGGGGAAAGTAATCAATCGAGAGGGTTTCAAAGCCTGCTATTTGTTGTTGGGCCAAAGGAGAGCTGTCCAACCGCCTTCGGAGAGGAGGGTCGAGAACGGATGTCCATACCAGGAAACACCGCCTGTATCTGCGACGTTCGATGTCGGCCAGCAGACAGTCGACAATATGAGGTAGTGGCGAGAGAAGGTATATAGCGTCCATGGTGGGGTTCATCTCCCTCCGCTCCTCAATGCGCTCGATGTCTGTGGTGGGTTCATCAGCTAAGGCGGCTAGGACAGATTCTCGGCGCTTGACTAACTGGCGATATTGTGGTTGAGGATATCATCTTCTTTGACAGCACTGTCGATGATCTTCTTGGACGTCTCATCGATGACTAAAACTTTCCACTACGTAAGGGAATTAGAATGTGTACAGGAGTGGCTGAATCGACCCCAGTGCTATCAAAACCTACATCACCCGCTGTTATGTTCTTTATCGTGCGTATAATAACTGTTTGAAGCAGAGCCTGGAGTCAGTAACATACAACTGGGGAGGACTAGATAACACAGGGGGAAAGCGACAACGATAGTAACATATGACATGGGATCCTCTTACTATCATGTTGTTCTTGAATGATGGACACCCCCATCTTGGCGTGTTGACTCGTCGCAAAGGCACAATCGCCCGAGGAATGTGCGACAGCAGCAGCAGCTTTCTAAATGGTGCAATTTGTACCAAGTTGTAGATCGATCGAAGGCTGTCTTTGGGGAGGTATTCCTGGCACGAAGCCGAGAGGGCGGATATGTATGTGGTGATGGTTCGAGCGAACGGGTAATTGACAAGAGCAGATGCTGGGCAGGACGCGCACAGGAAATACACCAGAAAGAGACAGAGACAGAGACAGAACCAGAACCAGAACCAGACAACAGAGGTCGGCGGGATATTGGAAAGGGAGAAAAGCCGGGGAATGTCGTAAATGTAAATGCAATAGTAACAGTAACAGTTGGTGTAATGGTGTTGTAGTGGTGCCTCTGGCGCTGGCGGGGTTGGGGTGGTCCCAGGTTTCAGGCTGGCACATGCTCAATGCGACGGCATTTCAAGGCTTAGACAGACAAGATTGGAAGCCACAAGCAAGCACAAGGACCAGCCAGCTACCCTAGAGCTTTCCCCACCTGCCTGCTAAGCTGTAGCACCATGCGGCTACACGAGACCGTACATGTACTTATGTGTATATGTTCTTGTATCTGTACTTACCTTGTACTTACTAACTTAGCCCAGGGGCAGACATCAGATCTAGATCATGACATATGCATACTTACTTATTTATACATCTACATGAATAAGCCGACTTGAATAGACCATAGGTTCTTTCTTCGTAATGCGTCGCAAATATGAAGTTTAGTCTGTTGTTGTCTTGAAACATGAATACCATTGCCACCTTGTATAGTCGGACAGGAGGGCACCTCTCTTCCAGATACCAGTATGCCATGTGAAGTAGAAAAAAAAAGGGTATCTTGAAATGACTACATATGCTGAACAAAAATCTATCCCTCTATATCGCCTTGCCTTGACCTGATGCCGCGCCCCAGATACCTTTCCACGTCAGGGTTTCCAAACAACTGGTGTCTAAGCTTCTCATGACGTTTCTTGTCTTCCGTCGCCATCTTGCGTACCTTCTTAGCGTTCAGCATCTGGGGCTTATCTTTCTTTTTGGACTCAAAGTCTTTCGGGACCTCGACGCCCAAGCCAAGTGTATCATTCTTGGGTTTCGCCTTGATCGGGAAAGAAATGCCCTGGTTCAGAGCACCTAGGCCAGTTCTTGCGTCCGGGTCCCAGCCCTGGGCTTGTAATACGCCCAATCCCATGCGAGAGCGGTCTAGTGAGGACGGTGGATGTGAATGTGCCATGCACACTTGGTGAGCTATTGACGCTTGATGAGGCCGCCTCGGTAATTTCCCAGCATCTGTCCCGTCCGAGGACACATCCACTGGAAGCTTGCAGATGTCGCATATATCCAGGCCAGCAACGTTTGTCTCACCTATAGAGGAATCCCTGTTCTCCGTAGGCAGTACTATGCTGAGATACATATCAGCAACAGACTTCGAGGGCTCCGGTGGTTTGCTTTCATTGACGGAGTCAAGGTTCCCCGACGATGCAGGGACGAAAACGACTTGTTTCCGCTTGAGCCCTGACCCAAAAGGGCGTTTGTGTTGTAGAGGCACTTCGTCCGCATCTTCGTAGTCAGACCATTCTTCAGGTGCCATCACTCGGCGTGTCTCGATCAATCAGATGACTTTAGTGGCTAAGGGAGAAATGAATGACAGTTTTTGTGGCCACCGTGAGTAAGGTTGTCTAAGGGGCGATTTCTATGTACCTGTTCTAATATGCTAAAAAGTGGGTTCCTGTCGCAGGCAACCCCCAATTTCGTGCAGCTCAGGTCCCGGGTCTAATCTTAGGACAAGTTGTGTTAACCTACGTAATCTGCACAACCAAAATTGTTCGCTGATACAGCTTCGCAGCAGGATGGGATTCTTCCTACTCCAATCTCCATAAGCCATTTGTTTCACAATTTTCTCATAATGTCATCGACCTCAATATAGTGTAAAAAAAAGCCTGTCCGATCCCCTCCCGCCTAAATAAATCCACCCCTAGGTTTCGATCACCATGCCGTTACCTTTCCTATACGAGACAATCGTCAATGGCGCACCAGAATGGGTGCCTATCTGGGCGAGGGAGCCTTTCACATTGACCAAGATTGTCGCCGGAGTAGTCCTGCTCTACTTGATCAAGATCTACAGCAGGGGCGCAACGAATCATGCTGGAATGAGGATGAATGGCAAGGTTGTCATGATAACAGGAGGCACATCGGGAATAGGCACAGCCGTCACACGAGACCTTGCCGAGCGTGGCGCACAAGTCGTACTTCTCACCCACCTACCACCATCGAACCCCTTCTTGGCCGACCAGATAGGAGAGCTTCGCGAGCAAACCAAGAACCAGATGATCTACGCTGAGCAGGTCGATCTTAGCTCGCTCCACAGCATCCGAAAGTTCGCAACAAAATGGATCGATAACGCGCCACCTCGGCGGTTAGACATGCTCATTCTTTGCGCAAACACCCTGACACCGCCTGGTGGCGAGCGGGCGGAGACAGACGAAGGAATTGAGGAGATGTGGATGGTCAATTACTTAGCGAACTTCCACCTTCTCGGCATCCTAAGCCCAGCACTCCGAGCGCAGCCAGTTGATCGCGATGTCCGAATCATAATCCCTACGTGCTCAGCATACATAGCATCTCCGGACCTCGGCGACGCCTTGTCCAAGGAGAAATGGTCACCCAAAAAGGCCTATGCCAGGAGCAAGCTAGCGATGATGGTGTTCGGTCAAGCTTTCCAGAAACATTTAGACGCATACAAAAGACCGGATCAGATGCCTATGAACGCCCGAGTAATCTTCGTAGATCCGGGCTTGACACGTACACCCGGCATGCGACGGTGGCTTACACGTGGATCGATTCTAGGGCTCGTTCTATATATTTTGGGCTACTTCCTGCCCTGGTTATTCTTGAAAAGTGAAGAGAGAGGCGCACAGTCGATCCTACATGCAGCAATGGAATCTTCTTTGGGCAGAGGCCAGGGCGGAAAGCTGATTAAAGAATGCATGGAGGTCGACTTCGCAAGGAAAGATGTAAAGAACGAAGATATCGCCAAGACGCTTTGGGAAGCCAGCGACAAACTTATTGAGAAAACAGAGAAAAAGCAAGCCACCTTGCGAGCAGTGGAGAAGAAGAAGCAGGAGACACAGGAGAAGGGAAAGAAAGAAGCTGAGCAGGCTCAGGAAATCGAGGCTTTGGTGGAATCTATTAAAAAGGGCAAGGAGGCGGAAAAGAAGCCGTCGAGGCGTCAGCGCAAAAAGGCCAATGCCGAGAAGGCAGAGTCAACGAGTACATGATTTCCTACATACCACCATATCGGAACTGGGAATAGACGGAACTAAAATCTATAGAACTGTATAATTATAACCACTACTATCATCACTGTACTTCCAGGGCTATTGACGAAGAAAATGTAATCAGTGCAGTGCAGATAGGTAGCACCGAAGATCTAGGTAGATCAGATGGTCTTACCAACCAAGCACACGTGAAAATGACGCCAGAGTAGGTAAGCTCTTGGGGATGGATGGAGATACCTACCTAGTGTGGGGTAGCACAATGGATAGCTCAAGAAGCCTCGGAAGACACCTCCGAGATCGAACTTGATTGATATCAAGTCCTTTCTCAACTTACTTAGGTAGATACCTATCTCATATCACGATCTGCCGATATCGTTATCCTACCATTAATTGCTACACCTTTTTGAATTACAGAAATATTCTGGAAATCAAATAGCAGCGTCACCTATCAACAACACCCTGGCAGGATATCACCAATTAGTCCCTTGCCTATCTACATATCTCATCTCATCTCGTCTCATCCACCTGTAATCTCATCCCGAGATTCAATCGATATCACATCCCATCTCTCCGCCCCATATATCAAAATGTCAACTTTCCAAGCACCGCCAAACCTCCAAGCGATATGGGACCTTCACCACCAGCCACGGATGCCAGCTATGCAACAGCAACAGCAACAGCAGCCAAGAGACGTATCAAGTCTGCATCCCGTATTCTTCACAGGCCGTCTGCGGCCCGCAGCCGGCGCCCCCGTCGCTGCCGCGGTGAACATGTTGCACCCCGTAGCGCATGGCTACGTGTATCGCGATGAGCGGTTTGCGAGGAGGCCCGGGGGGCCAATGTTGTGAGGAAGACGATGAGATAGGGTCTATTATCCCCGAGGAAGATATAAACAGACATTTCATTAACAGCCAAAGCTCGTTGGTTTCTAGTTATTACAATTATTGAATACACTTAGATGAGCTACGTGGCGACGCCAGCACAGACGTTTATAACTACGAAATGAAGAAGAATCTTGGTAGCAAAACCCTTACAGAAGAAGCGGGTAGCAAATTGTATTTAGATAGTGTGGTAATACACCCGAGAACCCTCAAGCCGGCTTCGCCAGACAAGGCGGGAAAGGCGGATAACAAAATGAAGGAACCGGTGATAATCACCCCCATGTTTTGATGCGATACCACTGGCCCAAACCCAGAAACGATGATTCCTTAATGAAAACTGATCCCGCACGCCCGTAGAGTAAGAAAAAAGGGGATTAAAAAATAATACACGCAGGCCATCCCAGTTATACACCTGGTCCTCTGAAAAGGACCAAGAACTTGCGTCTGCCACTCTAATCCCGCCCCATTAACAGCATCATGGCCTATATCCATTTTCTCACGAGTTCTTGACGGCGATGACGATCGTCAGGACAATCAGCGCGAGCACGACGACCAGCAACGCCATCAGCTTGACGTTCTTCCACCACATCTGCCTCTTGAGGCCCCTGCTGCGCACGCGGAACTCGCGGGCGCTCCCGCCCAGCCGATCCGTCTTGTCGACGAGGAGATCGATGCGCTCGCCGCGCTCGAGCAAGCCCTCGATGTTCCGCGTCATGATGCCCCTGACGTCGTCGATCTCGCGCTGGACGTTGGTGATGGCGTCGTCGCGGCCGCCCGAGGTGGTGCCGTACTCGACCATGAGGTTCTTGAGCGTGGCATTGAAACTGCCCGCGCCGTAGTTCGGGAGGTCGCCGAAGTCGGTGCTGTTCTCGTCGAAGTCGCGGAAGAAGCGCGTGCGGATCTCGAACAGGAATCCGAAGGGCACGCGCCGGCCCAGCGACGAGTCCGAGACCACGAGGAACGTCAGGCCCCCGGCCGAGGCATTCTCTGGACGCGACGAGGGCGCCTCGGATATGTAGTGGATGTGGTGGTTGCCGTGTGTGTAAGTCAGCTTCTGCGGCGTGTCGTGGTTTATCTTGGGGAGGATCAGAGAGGCGAGGGATGAGGTGTTCGAGGAGGCTGAGGTTGTGCACTCTGTGAGGATAGTTGTGTTGTGCGCTATGCACGCACTGGACGGATTGATTTTAGTATCATGCTATGATGAAACCCGCAATGCTGCCTTGTGTACGACTTACTAGAGGAGGGGTGTTTGAGTCGATGAGGACGCCATTGTTTCGAACTCTAGGAACTTTACCCAGACGTCGGCCGTCTGTTATTATTTCAACGTAAAGGGTTCCTGATGCAATTTCGGCGCATTCAGGAAAAGGGTCCGTAGCAATCAATATAGGGATCGCAGGTCAAAGCCGGAGAGATTAGAGGGAGAGATTGTGGCGCTGGTGTGAGGATAGGTCTGATGGCTGGCTGATGAGCGTCAGGCAGGATGACGATGCAGTCCGCAGACGAAACCCCGGACTCTGCCGGACGCTTAGCGTACCACTCACGCTAGCGGTGTGGGTCTGAGGCTAAAGCATCCCCTGCTCTGCTCCACGTCATTCATGCAAGATCAAGCTCCTTATGCAATCTGAGAAGTACAATGCGGAAGAGGATTGTAGAAAAAGCAAATACCGCAATAGCGGGATTTGTCATCCTAAGATCAGTCAAGCTCCGGGCTTTAATTCTGGGCTCAGCTAATTTATACTCATGATAGTTAAGGTGTGTCACAGTAAGTGTGTTAGGGTGTTATATACCGATGGCAGCAGCAGATACTTTGTTTGTAGGCGAAAAAAGAAAAAAAGTTGTAAGAGGTTCCGTATCAGTGAGCCAAGCTCTGAATAGCGTCATCAAATATTCCGACATCAGTAAATTATTCTAGTCTCTTCTCTCGTTTTAGTCGAGTATTGCGCAGTTTATAAGTGATATCTCAAATTGCTTATTATAGTTTCCTTATATATCAAACTTGATTCTTGCAGAGCCCATTCTTTCTTAACTACGATGGTTGTAACGTTTATAGCTTGCCAATCATATACTACATATAATCATCGTTTTATTTTATAGGATACATGGTGCTTCTCATATTCGGAGGTAATGGTGTGCCCTTTTTTTATCTCCTGTATGAACTCGCTATGCTCGAGTTTGTGGCTCTTTCACATGCCAGTTAGGAATCATTGATAAGAACGACCGACAGTAGGACGTTCAAGTCCTAGAATTACAATGCGCGTTTGCGAATATTGCCATTTCAACTTAGACACATCATTATAGCAACCTTGACTGTTCTACGTTAACTCAACGGGCCGGGTTATTCAGGTCATAGTATTACTAACTCTCTGTTCTTAGGATTCTACACAAACCAACATCTCTGTTATACCTTCAACATGATCGGATATCATTAATAGCTCAGGTTAGATCAATTGGCGAGATGTTGATAAAACCTTCTTAGCAAGTTATTTAAGATCGAAGTCAAGTAACGGAGTAGCGAATATCTTGCTCAAATGAAAACAGCTAGGTAGCTAGAAGATGGGAAGACTATTTGACCCAATTCCAAGCTGTGAAATTTCCTTCATACGGCACGTGAAACTATATGCTGGGGAAGAGGCTACTCCTATCACCTATTGAACACAGACACTATTGATACCATCGGGGAGCGAAAGGTGCTTAACCCAATAGGCTTAGGAATTACACCAACTCTTCAGGCCCATTCTATACCGAGTCCACTCTGCTTGTGTCTGTCAAATGAAACATCAGAAGCGAATTCAAAGTGAGTACTAACCCATATGCTTCCGGCTTCAAGTTGTTTAACAATGCCAAGGCCATAGGCATTTCGAGCTACTAACACGCTCACACGAGTATGTCCTATCAATTCATTTGTCCTTTCTCATTTGACACTCATAGGTTTCTACATGAGTTCTGCAATGAGGGTGTTTCTGCCACAATTCATAGTCGAAATGAGCCAAGAGCTGTGGTGGATTGATTGTCTGATCTGCTGTATTCCAGCATTCTGTCAACCACAGCCAGGATTAAATATGGCAGCACCGTTGGCCGTGGACATTTTTACGGATTTAGTCGTTGCCATAATTCCTGCTACTACCATATTGAGAATCCAGACTATATTTTGGGAAAGGGTGGGCCTCTCTTCTTTCGGAATCATTGCATTCATTATATGTAGTGGCAGCTATGCTTCGAGTGGCGATGGTTCTCGTGGCAAGTTGTAACTTGTACATACTTAGTAAGCGAGCTTGCGTACGGTGTCCCTTATCTTATCTAAACCCCCACTTTCCCCTCGCAGCATATTTGGGTGGGCAATACCTACCTAAGTAGGGTACATGTAGCTATCAAGAATAAGATAAGATTAGCGATAATGCTGCTTGGACCGAAATATTTCTTATCGAGCATCTACGGTATCATGATTCCATTGAGAACCTCTGACTCTTGAGAGCACGTGGGAGAACTCAAGTAGTTTCTCATGATATGGTGCCGGTCTTTTTGCGGATTTCCTGTCATGCGTTTTCTTAGCAACAGCAGTTGCTTGGCTAGGACGAGCTATGCACCGCGATTACTGTTTTCTCCATTATCCCAATATGCCTTCAGCACCTATGGCCGTAACCAACGGTCCCAGAAGTGGCCGAAGTCAAAGCCTCCCGGCTATGGCCAACACCCGATGACAAAATTCGCCTCCGAGAAGTTGAACATCCTTGGTGAAATAGACTCGGTTCAACCACACTCAGAACCTCCGACTAGGAAACAGAAGGCCGATACACGGAGGGCCTACGCCATCTTCCACAAGCTTGCGGAAAACAAGTTCGACGAACTGATTAAGGAAGCCGATTGGCAGTCTCAGTACGAGGCATTCGGGATCACATCGAAGCTAGACTTTCATCGCGAAGCCCGACTATTTCGAGTTTCCATCAGCAAAGCTTGTGAGCTTGCCGCCGAAACTCATGCTGTCTCGAGAGTCAATAACCCCCTCTTCTGGTCCCTGCGCAATGCCTTCGTCACCCGAGATGTTAAAGGCCTTAGCGCCGAGCTCAAATTCTCTTTCCAGAGTTTTCTCTCACGTTCCCAATTCCCAAAGAGCATCGATGCTACCCACCAGAAGATTGCTGATATGCGTTTCCCCTACGAATGGTATCCCGCCACCCGCGCCCTTCAACGTACTGTCCACCTCCACGTCGGTCCCACCAATTCTGGCAAGACCTATAATGCTTTGAAAGCACTTGAAAATGCTAAATCAGGCATATATGCCGGACCTCTACGTTTACTAGCACACGAGGTTTACTCCCGCTTTATGGCTAAAGGAAAGCCCTGTGCCTTGATAACAGGAGAGGAGCAGCGCATACCCCAAGAAGCTGACTCATATTTTATAAGTTGCACAGTGGAAATGACACCTGTCAATGAACCTGTGGATGTCGCCGTAATTGACGAGATACAGATGATAGGTGATGATGAGAGGGGCTGGGCTTGGACACAGGCTTTTTTTGGCATCCAAGCAAAGGAGCTGCATCTTTGCGGAGAGGAGCGTACCGTCGAACTGATCCAATCCTTCTGCGCTACCCTCGGCGATGAATGCATAGTGCATCGCTATCAGCGTCTCAGTGGGCTTGAAACAATGCATGAGAGCTTGAATGGCAAATTCACAAATCTTCGAAAAGGTGATGCTGTTGTCGCGTTTTCCCGCCTTGAGCTTCATGCTCTCAAGAGGTCGATCGAAAGGCATACGAACAAACGCTGTGCTATAATCTACGGTTCTTTACCGCCAGAAACACGTGCACAACAGGCCGCATTGTTCAATGACCTTGATAATGACTACGATTACCTTGTCGCTAGTGATGCGATTGGTATGGGTCTTAATCTGGAGATTAGACGCGTTGTTTTCTTAGCCACAACCAAACGGAGCCCCACCGGTTACCGGCAGCTATCGGTCTCTGAGGTAAAACAAATCGGTGGTCGAGCAGGCCGCTTCAGAACAACCAACCATGCTGTCCGAGCTGCTACCGAAGATTCGCAACCTCCAGATCCAAAACCTAGCGGCCCAGGTCTAGTGACGGCTATGGAAGACGAAGATCTAGCGTTGGTCATCCAATCATTCGATACCGAGGCGGAGCCTATAAAAACGGCAGGTATCCAACCACCGGCGGCTGCGATTGAGCGCTTCTCTGCCTATTTCCCTCCAAATACCCCACTTAGCTTCATGCTCGTGCGCCTGCGTGCTATTGCCAAATTATCGCCGAGATTCCATTTCTGTCACCCCCTAGAAATGTTAGAAGTCGCAGATCTAATACAGCCATTCCCTATGTCGATTTACGATCGCTGTGTAATTCTGAATGCACCCGTTGCATTACGGGACCCTCAAGGACAGCAGGTTCTTCAAGCCTTTGCAAGATGTGTTGCAAGAATGGAAGGTGGCAATCTGCTTGACTTGCGCGAAGTTGAGCTGGAACTGCTTGATGCCAAGTTTGATCAGTGGAAAGAGGGTGCCCCGGAACTCCTTCGCAGATTAGAGGCTCTCCATAAATCCATTACCTTGTATCTATGGTTGTCATATCGGTTCTCTGGTGTTTTCACAAGCCAGCACCTAGCCTTCCATGTCAAAGCCCAAGTTGAAACGAAAATCAACGACTATCTCTCTGGTGTTCAACAGACAGACAGTCAGATGAAGAAGAGGCTTGACAACATGCGCAAGGCGGCTCAAGCTCAACAACTTAGGGAAAAGCAATACCTGGGCGAGACCGCGCCGCCCGAGGGTTCTGGGCACGAAGGTGTTGGCGAGTGGAATGAGGAGGGACACGAAGAACCGCTGTATGAGGATTCGTCCCAACTCGAGGACATCACCCCACTCCCGGAGAAGTCTGATAGGTGGTCAAGACGCTGAGTCTATGTCTTGCTTAGATTTGCATTGTATCCGGGTTTCAGCATGGATGGCGTTGGGGTTGCGGCTCGTTCAGGAAAAGCAGGCTGTATAGTGCAGCCTATGTACTGCGGCCAATTATGGTTTATGTATTATACGTCTCATGTAACATACTTTATAAAGACGACTCCTAGATTCCTCCATGTACTACTGGGTCATACTCACGGAACATCAGATACCATTCATGTATGGCATGTACTAGTAGCCATACGAACATGTACATATTTGAATCTACGTATGATACCATCGTTGTGCTTTCTCGCCTGAAGCTCATAGCATGGAAGTAGAACTCTCATCAAGATGCTAGCTAAGGCTCTTCTTGGTTGTCTCATGCTTGCAGACTGCCAGGTCGTTGCAAGACGCACTGAAGTTTGACATTGGTAGGTGGCAACTGCAGATATTCATATGCACTGCATGATAATCATCCAAGGTAAGTAGGTAGTTCTTGCCTCTGACTCTATGTGCCTAGGTAGCAGGTTGGTTCCTGCATAGTCTTTGTCATCCTTCACGATAACAACAACCCAGCTTTATGAATAATTTCGACCGGAAACAAAGTAACCTAACCTAAGAGATGCATCTGTTACCCTTCTACCGATTGCTAAAACCACCCTCCTTTCACAATGGTCCTTTCCCCTCCATCTATGCGGCCCTACGAAACTTGGTACATGTCAATCGATGTACCAGAGAGGCGACGGCGCTCCGCTGTCCATTTCTCTGAACCCTTATTCTCCATCATGGACGATGGGGAAGGTGACGACCTCAGCTTGTCGAGCGAAGGGTCTCTCTAGCAGAGAGCCAGCAATCGATAGCGACTTCGCAGCATCTCTGCCATGGACGGCCCGAGCAGCAGGTTTACTTCCATGTCCGTTTCCTCTGGCACGAATGTCGACCTCAGGGCGTCGTTCCCCTCCGTTCCTCGTCAGAGTCTCAAGGAACTATTCCCTAGTGTATCCGCCCCTCCCACCACCGGTATAGACCCGCCACGACCCGCGAAGGAAGGCCACGAATGGGTCTGGTTTCCAGCCGGATACTGGGCAGAGCGCGAGATTGTCGAGGTACCTCGTAAAGAATTGTCCAAGGCGTTTGGGTGGCGCAAGCGTTCTGGCAAGTCTGCCTCCGCATCTGCCAAGCGCTCATCTCACACCTCGACCTCGTTCCCTGAAAAGATGGAAGCATGGTCTGAACATTCAGCAAGTGGACGACTACTTACCCGCACAGCTGCGAGCAGTGAAAGCGGCGGATCTCTCTTTCCCCTGAATCGCATGCCAGATGCTCCTCTTCCTAGCCCTTACTTGACAGAGGAGACGCATGTGCAGTCACTTCAATGGCCATCCATAGATGCTGCCGCCAGAAGAAGCAGCACAAGCGGGAGCTCAGTTTTCAAGTCCCGAGGAGCCCTTTCCCCATCCCCGTTGCACTTGTCACACGCCGAGGCGGAGATAGAGTCAGAAAGCGTTTCGCCAGCAACGGTCAGAGGGCAGCCCCCCAGGGGTGCTTCGTCGGACACGATCAACACGGTATTGCTAACTCCACCTGATATTACTAGCCCAAAGGTCCGACCGAAAAAGTCGTTTATCACGTGGCGGATGCTCTCGCAACACCGACAAGTACGTAAACTATATCCCCTGTTGTATTTAACCTTTCATCAGGAGATATTGGGATTCGAGGCTGACAAGAGAAGCAGAGACTAAGGAGATCTCAAGCTTCAAGTAAAGAAAAGCTCGGTGAAGACGGCGCTCAAATACAGTCATCACGACACCCGGGGGCCACAGCTAGCCCTTTGCGGAAGACGTCAAACATAAGTGATAAAAGCCGGAAGTCTCTCAAGGGATTCCCTACGAAACTACTCAGAAGAGCTCGTTGGTCTCGTAAAATCTCAAACTCATCTGCTGTGAGCACATCGAGTTCTATGCAAACTACTTCCGTGAATAGTCATTCGCCAGATACGCCTGGCTCTGAAAGAGGGGAGACGGCTGGTACGTTATAATTCTGCTCCTAAATCAAGTTAAATACCTAGATCGAAATGATAAATGTAAGGTGACTACCTACTAAATGTGATCTTAGCAGTTTCGAATGCGAATGCTTGGGCTTCTGAGTATCCCGGCAATGTGAGTCGTGTCTCGTATCTCTGCGCAACCGGAAACTCTCGCACAAAGATGATACGTCTCATAGCCATGACATACATCGTGCTAAAAATTTCCTAGGAAGCTATACGAGTTCAAACGCCGCGCATCGAACAGTTCCCGCGCTCGTTCTTCCAGGACCTCTCGGCCCCAACAACTCCTCGACGGCCCCTCTCCCGCCAAGAGGGCCAACTCAACCTCAAGAAGACGAACCTCTCCACATCCTTCACCCCCGGCGGCGACTCCAGCAACTCCACCACGCCGGGCCGACAACGGAACGAGCACCGGAGCGAAAACGATGCCGACAGCAGTAGTAGTACCAAGCTACGAACGCCCAGCAGCTCGAGAAAGCCGAGGAAGGACCGCGCCCACAAGGAGTGGTGGGAGGTGACGGTCCCGACGTCGTACGCAGAAGTGGACCAGCGCACTTTCCAGTTCGACCTGCCTGAACACCTCCCCACCAGCCCGATGTGTCCCGCCAACAAGCGGCACAAGTCCGGCGGCACGGGCGTCTGCGTGTATCATGGGCGCGCGAAGAGCCGGGATACCTCTGCCGTGACGAGCGGGGAGTCGGAACGCGAGGAGGCTGGGAGGGAGCAGGATGTTTATGAAGAAGATGAGGGCAACGAGAGCGATGTGTGGAAGTAAGGGGGTGAGTTACCTCATCGTGGAACTCATCTTGATTCATCAATATCAATGTGTCGTGGTGAAGATGGGGTTGTATCAGTCTGTTCGGTCTGGAAATACCCGATACTCGGCAGAAGAACCTACGCATGTGACAGATCGCGGGTGAGTGCTCCTTGTGTTGAATATTCATATTCATATGGATCTTCCTCTTAATGTGGTATAAAAGACAATAAACCCCTATTGAGGAACGCCGAATAGGACGTGATAACGCTGGGACCTGCCTCCCTAGGCGGAGGCCTCTAAAAACAAACTTTGTATCTTGTGAATGTTTATACTAATACATACATACAATGTCCCGTTCCGTATACTGATAAAACCATGGCAAACCCGCTTCCGTGCACATAGATAGTAAAGTCGCTTGCCGTGCTGCTTCTTCCCGCCATGAATATCGATAAATATTTGACTAGTCCTAGTGCTGGACTGCCGCTGCCGTCGATGAACAGATCTTGACGTGAGTGTTGGACAGTTTTCGGGCACGTTATCGGATACTAGACGATCTGTTTACAACCATTCATCACGCTATATACTCCTTCATTATCTACTCGTCCGACTGGATCTTATGATCGCCCTTGATAGCCTCGGCGTACGTGGGCGGTGCACGCTCACCATTGTTGCTGCTACCGCTGGCCTCGTTTTGATTAGACGAGGACGAAGCGCCCGCATTGTTAGAAGATGCCGTGCCGTAGTTCACTTGTTGTTGGCTGTGTTTCGCATGCTGTTGATGAGATTGTTGTTGTGATTGAGCGTGCGGTGCTGGCACGATGACGTATGTTACGCGCTCATTGTGGTGGCCGTGGCCATGCTCGTAGTCTTGTTGAGCTACGCGCTCGTACTCTGCTGTGTCGGGGAATTTGGCGATTATGTACCAGGCATGGATGAGGCCGGGGATCTTAAAGGGCGTTAGAACTGGTGTAGATATAACGGTTGTGGGATGGGTTGGCTAGGGGTATTGGTGTTGATGATGGGAGAATGCGATGGGGGATGATGGACGGATGGATAGTAGAATGGCGGATTACTTACGTATCCCAAGAAGCAGAGAAGGATGTTAATGATAGAGTCGGCGGAGCATAGACCGCATTTCACCCAGACTGCATACAACAGTTAGCATGTGCCATCTTCGTTTTCATTAAATATCCCCTTGAGCGCGCTGCCTAGCAGATACGATATATCATTCCTCATATTGTCCATCAGAACCGTATTCGTTGTTCGTCCATCACTAGCAAAAACCCAAGCCCTAACAACCGGGATGGGAGTGAAGATATTGTATTCGCTGGCTAGCGCGCTCGAGATGGAGATGACGATGATGATGACGTACCGGCCAAAGGCGGGAATAAAATGGCGATGATGCCGAGGAACAGATCGGGGGAGCACATATTGGGCGAGTTTTTGATTTTCTATTCGAGCCGTAGTTTTCTATGGGAGAGAATCGTTGAAAGACTTATCAGACTTATGTAGGTAGCAGGTAGAGATTGGATGCTGGTTTCATACTCGAGTCGAAATGAAGATGGACTGGAGCGTCGCAGTAGGTAATGACGGCGGAGGAGTGGATCACGCCACTGCGGGAGGCGAAGCGTGCGTTGGGCTGGCAGGGGCTGGTCCGGCTGGATTTGGGGTGGGGGAATTATTAGGCAGGCGTTTAAACTTGGTACGCTAGGTACCTCGATGCGGCAAAGGACCTGCATACATGTAGGTACTTATGTATATCGAATTACCTAGTTACGTACATGTAGATTCTTCTCGGTCTCTACCTATGTATGTGCCTAGGTATGTTGCTAATACTATTTTAGGTATACTCTTATATGTAGTTACACCTGAATTATGACACCCTTATAAACAATTCTTTTGTTGCTATTATGCTCATATTTTGGGTATGGGAATGGTAGAACTAATCCTTCCAAACTCTTATTGATAATTGCAAAATTGTACCTACCTACTGTAGGGGTGCATAGGGAATAGGTATATAGCTGGGTACTGCAAGTGGGTGGATCGTATTGTTACCAAATTGTTACCAGATCAGCCATCACCTGGAAAGCTCCGCTAGCGGCTGCGATAAATGAATTAGCTAGGTAGGTAAAGTACGCTTAGGTACATAAGACAAGTCCATCCAAGTCTTATCGATATTGGAATTTCGAGATCTAGCAACCGCGTACCTACCTGTTGTACTGAGCTTCATACCATCCTCAACAACCCACCCGTCTTCTTCGCCTTGTCCGGGCGAAAGCGAACGGCTATGGACGACCTCGAAGAGCTCGAGCTCTTGTCGCTCGTTTCCAAGGTCACGTCCGAACTACAGAACCATCTGGGCATCAACGAGAAGACACTAGCCGAGTTCATCATCGCCCAGAGATTACAATGTACCAAACTATCCGAGTTTCGCGAGAAGCTGGCTGGCATGGGCGGCGCAAGCTGGCCAGACAGTTTGTTCGATAGTGTAGATCGCTTGGTTCTGACCATGCACCCAAAGTTCAAATCGACGAACGGCGCTACAAATACGTATGAAGACGACGATAAGCCCGTAAGGTCGTTGCACGAGAAGGAGAACCTGTTCAAAGGCTTGAGCATACCGGACAAGGACATTCAAGAAACCAATGACGCAGACGAGATAGATGATACTTTGGCGCTCCTAGAAGGCTTAGCGCCTAAGCCAGCTCGCGATGCACCGTCGAGGAAACGGTCCAGGAGTCCTCACGACGAAGATGGGCGACACCGGAGGAAAGAAAGGCGACGCTCTCGGGATAGAAGGAACGAGGAGTACGACGACTATGATGACGACCGCCGTGGCCGAAAGGAGAGGAGGAGCCGTCGGGAGCGCAAATATGATGATGATGACGAATACGGCGACGATGTGCTGCGGCGCCCGCCTGAGCAAGAGCTGGATGACTCGCCTATACTCTATAAGGTCTACGATGGTCATGTGACTGGTATCAAAGACTTCGGAGCCTTCGTCAACTTACATGGCGTGAGAGGGAAAGTTGACGGCATGGTTCACATATCGAATCTAGTGCAAGGCCAAAGGGTGAATCACCCGTCAGACCTTCTTGCGAGAGGTCAAAACATTAAGGTAAAAATCACTAAGATCGAAGGCAACCGTATAGGGCTCTCCATGAAGGATGTTGATCAGGAGACTGGCATGGATCTTGCCCCAGCAGCGCGGATTCAGTCTGGTGCCAATATGGAAAGTCTCGGTAGCCGTAACGGAGTCGCACCTCTCCAGCCTGATAACACCGTTGCTCTTTCAGAATACGCAGGATCAAGAGGAAAACAAAAGAAGCGGATGACATCTCCTGAACGGTGGGAGATCAGACAATTAATTCGATCAGGAGTTGCGAAAGCCTCCGACTACCCTGATCTAGAAGAAGAATACAACGCGACCCTCAAAGGCGATGGTGAAATGGAACTGGAAGAAGACGTGGATATCGAAGTCCGGGAGGAAGAGCCACCGTTCTTGGCGGGTCAGACTAAACAGTCTCTGGAATTAAGTCCCATTCGAGTAGTGAAAGCCCCCGACGGTTCACTGAATCGAGCGGCTATGTCTGGTGCTACATTAGCGAGAGAAAGGAGGGAACTACGACAACAGGAAGCTGAGGCAGCTGAGCAGGAGTCGAAAGTCGACCTCTCATCGCAATGGCATGATCCAATGGCGAATCCGGATTCCAGACAATTCGCTAGCGATTTACGCAACTCAAAGGCAAATGCCGCAAAAGCTGACGGGGTTCCCGAATGGAGACGTGCTATTGTACCCAAAGACCAATCTTTTGGCAAACGTACGAACCTGTCAATGAAGGAGCAGAGAGAGACTCTCCCAGTCTTCGCTTTCAGAGACCAGCTCATCAAGGCTGTCAAAGACAATCAGGTCTTGATCGTAGTTGGTGAAACAGGTAGCGGTAAAACTACGCAACTCACGCAATATTTAGATGAAGCTGGCTTTTCCAATGATGGAATGATTGGGTGCACACAACCACGTCGTGTCGCAGCCATGAGTGTAGCCAAGCGTGTTGCTGAAGAAGTGGGATGTGAGCTTGGTCAAGAAGTCGGCTATACAATTCGATTTGAAGATAAGACAAGTCCATCGACTCGGATCAAATATATGACGGACGGTATGCTGGAACGCGAGATCCTCATAGACCCGGATGTAAGGAGATATTCAGTCATTATGTTGGACGAAGCGCACGAACGCACTATATCAACAGGTAAGAAAAAACACACATTTTGACGATTCTGCTATGAATGAGAACGCTAACTTTCCAACCAGATATCCTTTTTGCGTTATTAAAAAAGACTCTGAAACGTCGACCCGACCTTAGAGTCATCGTCACCAGCGCGACGCTCGACGCAGACAAGTTTAGTGAATATTTCAACCAATGTCCTATCTTTACAATACCTGGTCGTACTTTCCCTGTTGAGATCCTGTACTCTCGGGAACCGGAATCGGATTACTTAGAGTAAGTAACAAGTTGATCTGCTTCTTCTTATTGGACCGGGGTGTCTTGATGCTTTTAACTATGCAAAATTGCCATTACTAACATCTTGCAGTGCCGCGCTGGTTACAATAATGCAAATACATCTCACGGAACCGAGTGGCGACATACTTTTGTTTCTTACTGGACAAGAAGAGATTGACACAAGTTGCGAAATTTTATATGAACGAATGAAAGCCCTGGGACCGAATGTTCCTGAACTGATGATTTGCCCCATATATAGCAGGTAAGCTTCGTTATAATTTACTAGCATGGCCTTCTTGCTAATATAGTTGTAGTCTTCCAACTGAAGTTCAATCTCGAGTTTTTGAACCTGCTCCTCCTGGTGCCAGGAAAGTTGTCATTGCGACAAACATTGCTGAAACATCCATCACGATCGATGGCATATACTATGTGGTAGACCCAGGATTTGTGAAGCAAAATACCTATGATCCCAAACTGGGAATGGATTCGTTGGTAGTTGTTCCAATATCTCAAGCTCAGGCAAATCAGCGCGCGGGCCGTGCTGGCCGTACTGGCCCTGGAAAGTGTTTCAGACTCTATACTGAAGCCGCTTATAACTCGGAGCTGCTTCCTACCACACCACCAGATATTCAGCGACAGAATTTAGCACACGTTATCCTCATGTTGAAAGCGATGGGTATCAACGACCTTCTTCACTTTGACTTCATGGACCCACCACCGACGAATACTATGCTTGAGGCATTGGAGACCCTATATGCCTTATCTGCTTTAGACGACGAAGGATTACTCACTAGACTTGGTCGCAAGATGGCTGACTTTCCAATGGACCCTTCCCTGTCCAAAGTGCTTATTGCCTCTGTGGATATGGGTTGTTCCGAGGAAATGTTGACTATTGTCGCCATGGTCAGCCTGCCTAACATATTCTACCGGCCTAAGGAAAAACAACAGCAGGCGGATCAGAAAAAAGCAAAGTTCAATGATCCTCATGGTGACCATACAACATTCCTTAATGTCTATAACGCCTGGAAGCAGAGCGGCTATTCATCTCCATGGTGTTTCGAGAATTTCATCCAGTACCGGTCAATGAAGCGAGCCAAGGATGTCAGAGATCAACTGCTGAAGATTATGCAGAGATACCGCCATCCTATAGTGTCATGTGGTCGCGACACGACAAAAGTGCGCCAGGCTTTATGCTCAGGGTTCTTCCGCAACGCGGCTAGGAAGGACCCTCAAGAAGGCTATAAGACGCTGGTCGAAGGAACGCCTGTATACCTACACCCAAGCTCATCCCTCTTTGGAAAGCAGGCTGAGTGGGTCATCTACTCCGAACTCGTCCTTACCGTTAAAGAATACATGCATTTCACAACGAGCATAGAGCCGAAATGGCTCGTCGAGGCCGCCCCGACTTTCTTCAAGGTCGCGCCGACGGATAAGCTGAGCAAACGCAAGAAGGCGGAGAGGATCCAGCCTTTGTACAATAAATTTGCTACCGAAGATGATTGGAGACTTAGTGCCCAGAGGAGAGGTGGAAGGGGAGGGGGTGGTGGTGGAACTTGGGGTTAAGAGACCTTCTGAACCCGACTGTGGTCGCTGGCTGTCGATGCGTTGGAGGTGTATAGATACGGTGCTTACTGGGATCATACAAATGAGACCTGCTCGAATACTCAGAACTGAATATTTCTGGGTTTGATCTGAAACAGTGGGCTTTATCAAGTCGCTTAATTGGGGCTGTGTATTAATGATTGGCAAGTCCAAAATACTTAAGCGATTGTTAGTGATGGTCTCGATATTGGATAGTGTATGAATAATCACATACACGTCGAATAATGTTCGTTAGAGAAGTTGTATATAATAACATAACATCACATCAGTGCAACATAGGTAAATACCCCAAGTCCTAAAAAGTTCGGGCAGGCTATGCATAAGAACATCTTGTCCGGAAAACTTGCTATCGGGCATAGTAGATTTCCAGGAAAACATTTTCAGCGTATTCAATTCCACCAGAAACTCACACTGAAGCTCACGCTCAAACCCCTGACGTAATGCCACCAGCCAATAGGTATGTACAGCGCATCCCCCGGTTCCAGGATACCATCCACGAAAGGAATGGCCTTGAACGCGTCCCCGTCCACTCCGTTCTTCACTGCGCCTTCTATGTCGTGTTCTGCGCTATCAGGGGCTTCGTCCCAGCCCTCTAGAACCCCGATGTCGAGCATACTTGTGTTGCCCATCTCGACACCGTTCTCTTTCCCCCGCGCCGCTAGCCGAGTTGTTTCGCGAGGCGAGTAGAGACGGAGATACTTGCGGCCGACGACCTGTGTTAGGATGTTGTGGTATGGGTCGTTGTGTAAAGGGGAGATGGTACCTGGGGGCCCGAACCATGCGTTTAATAGCGGTTCGTCGAGCTCGGGCTGGTTGATGCTTGGATCGGTGGGGTGCGGAGGCGGGGAGGTGTAGCAGTAGTCTGGGATCAGGATGTCGTTGCGTAGAGTCGGGAGTTGTGTGAAGAGTTGGTGCTGGGCTAGGTAGGCTACTGGTTTGGGGGGTCGGGTGTCTGCGTTACTTCCTGAGACTGTGCGACCTCCATGACTGTCTTTGTCATGATTGGCATCTGTAGTTGGGTGATCATTGGATTGAGGGAGTAATGTTGGGTCGATGTAGTCGTGTAGAAATTCCCCGAATGTGATGAGTTTTTGCCCCCAGCCCTCGTCTACGTAGCTGCGACCTATCTCCACGGGCACGAGACGTCGGCCGTCAAACGTCTGCGATAAGAGATACGAGGGACGGTTCCATGGACGTGTGCTCAGAGCTGGCCATTCGCTGAGGGCATTGCGAATGATGAGAGGCTCAGGGCCGAGGTCACGATTTTGAGCCTGGTCCATGTATGCTTGAAAGTCTTCCATAGATAGAGCATCTACTTTCTTAATGGGGCGAGTTACAAACGGTGTGAATGGTTCGTATATTGAGAAGGTTGTTCCTGTATACTGGTCATTGTCGTCATGCAGCTGTGAAGGAACATGATCGTCTACGAGCTTTGCTCGCTTCGCCGGCCGATCTTGATTAGTTGCAGAGTCATCATGTATCTCATGACCTGTCCCCTCTGCTAACCAGACTGCATGAAGAAATTCCAGAGCTTTATCAACCCATCTTCTCCCCCTACGCTCTCCAGCCGCGCCGGCTAGAATCAAGGCAAGATCTAGCGTTTTGACAAGCTCATCCAAGCAGTCGTGGGAACCGTCAGGCGAACCACCTCTATTTGACTCATCCTTGGCAACGTACGGGGACTTCAAAAGAAGTAAACAGAACTTCAAGATTCGAGCATCCGTATACAGTTGTCTCCAACAAATGGGGAGATCTTTGAAAAGATAGGCGTAAAATTTAGAGTAAGCGACGGATGCAATATCCTCTAACCGCTTGAGGGCGAGATTGTATTTCCGTAGATAGCTCGAATCTCTTCCATCTTCTAGGACGGCATCAACAGTAGTGCCTGCATGATTTTCTTGGTATAAGCTGTGCACTATATCCGCCTGGCGCGAGAGCAAGTCAACGAGCGCTGGGCCGCAGCCCACTAGAGACGTCTCAGTATGAGCATGGCGATCCTTGGCCGAGAGTATTTCAGCACATTCCTGCCGAATTGTCCATGCCGCGTCTGTACAGTGTTCTCGAAGGCGTCTAAGATGCTCTTGTGTTGGTTTTGGCATCGAGGGATGTGGTAAGGTAAGTCATTTGCTATCTAGGTAGACATCTTAAGGAGCAACCTGGGAGTCATGGAGGCTGTTGATGATTATGAAGTTAGCGAAGGGCCCAGGCCGGGATACGTGCATAATGCTACGTTGAGCTGGGACTCGGCGCTTACAGATACCGTAGCACGCACAGGCGTCAGCTCTGCTGAAGCTCAAAACAATTCAAATTGGTTCCATTAGGGTGGCACTTGCTACGAGAAGATGTCTGATATCATGAAATTGCCATCGTAGGAACATAAGAGGATAGTGTAGATGACTGCTACGTCAGTTGCAACCAACCTTCTGAGTATCTAACGGAGGGACTGGTACCACTGTCATTGGAAGTGACCAACGCCATGATAATGATAGGTATAACAGGTATGATCTGAATGATTACCTAGTTTACCGGCTTTTTATGTCTATAATGTATTTCTCTGTACTTAATAATTGAGGTGTATGAGGGGTACTGCTGATACAGTGCATATCTACAGTACGATCCACGCTGTAGTGGATAGAAAAAGTACTTCTACTGAGTGCATTACTGGATACTCTACTTCGTAGCGGGCTGTTCCGTACAGTGCATCTATGCACAGTGATTGTACCTCTCTATCCCTGCGCTTGGTAGCGCTGTTGGTACAGCAGGACTTTGACGCTACACTACACGTCGCGTCTGCACCCGACCGCGTCTCAATCAACACTTACACGAAAATCACTAAAGTACCTACCTCCCACGTTCTCCTATGTCACTCCATACTGCTACCACCTACAACCGTTGACTTACCAAAAGACTACTTTACTAACTATTGAACACATCCTTTACCTAAACTCTACTTTGAAAGCATTGATAGCTCAATTCTTTTATCAATTGGCTTCTCCTTAGCTCCAGTATTCGAAGCCTCCTTCGTGATACCCTCCGTGACACCACCAGTGTCTTTCTTGTCCGTTGGACCTGTTGGTCGACTCGCTTGTCACACTGATATACCTAGGCTTGAACTTGTGTATCAACACCGCTTTGCCTCATGAATCCGCCGTAGAATATCGAATGCGAGTTCAGATACTGCCCCCATAATGTATCTGCCTCGCGACCTTATATCCAAACTCTACATCCACCTACAAAGTACTCGGCATCCACTGTCACCACCGGTTCTGATCCTTGTCGCCCTCGAACCCGATGCTCTGTGCGCATGTCGAATCCTCACTCGACTCCTAAAACATGACTACATACCACACAAGATACACCCCGTGGCTGGCTATGGAGACCTGGAGCGCGCCGGTCAGGAGCTTGTCGCGCCCATGATGGAGTCGCGTGGTGGAAGTGGGGGTGTCGTCATCTGTCTCGGCGTGGGTGGTATGGTCGACATGGGTACAATACTGGGTCTTGAAATCGAGGGTGAAGAGTCGAGTTTTAACGGCGTCGAAGTATGGGTCATCGACTCGCATAGGCCGTGGAATCTAGGCAATGTCTTCGGGGGATTTCCCTTGGATCCAGTCTCAGACCCCTCTGCGAGTTTTCAATCCCGTGCTCCTATTGGTGTCACCTCGGGCCGTATAGAACGTGCCTATAAACCTGGAAAGGGCGGTATTGTGGTATTTGACGATGGTGATATCGAGGAAGAGCTACATGCTGAGCGAGATGCCTACCTAAATCTCGTTGACATGCCAGACGTGGAAGATGACGGTGAAGGATACAACGATGGCGATTCAGAAAGTGAACAAGAGCCAGAAGAAGAGACAGCTGCACGACCTGGTCAAAAGCGCAAATCATGGTCTGATCGCGACGAGAGCAGTGATGAGGACGATGATCGGCCACGGCAAAGAAGGCGAAGCAATTCGGTAAGGCTCATTGACGTCTGTTTCTTATCGCTGGTACTAATAAGTACTATAGTCGACTCCGATCCCTGATTCACCACGGCGACCAGCACAACGAGGATTAGTGTCGATACAAGATTCTGCAATCTTTTCCGATAACGCGGAAGATCCACCTTCTGCGGCACAACCTCCGAAGGCTCCATCGGCTCGTGCACTCAGGAGGCGCCTCCGCAGAATGAGGCACGAAAGCGAAGCTGTGCTCCGGAAATATTACCGAATGGGTGCTTCTTATTCTGAGCCAATATCCGCTATGATCTACTCCTTGGCATCAGAGCTGGGTAGGGAGGACAATGATCTTCTATGGCTCACTATTGTTGGTGTGACATCTATGGAGCTGTATGGCCGGTCGTCTGCAGGACTTGCTGTTACCGTCCGCAGTGGTGACTCGAGACCAACCACTGGGTGGATGGGTGTTCGAGGAGCACGCATAAGGCAGCTTTTACGAGATGAAGTACGGCGTCTTAACCCCCTAGAGCTTGGATATAAAGATACCAGGGTAACGTCTGCTGAAAGCGCGGGTATCATTCCGACAACGGCTCGTAGCCCGGAAGATACAAGTATACGGCTTTCTCCTGAACCCAAATTCCTGCTTATAAGACATTGGAGCCTGTATGATAGCATGCTTCACTCCCCTTATCTCTTCTCAAGACTACGTATATGGAGCGACAGTGGGGTAAAGCGACTGCACAAGTTATTGGCAAAGATGGGCGTAAGCTTAGTCCAATGCAAACAGAGCTACACCCATATGGACATGAAGGTTAAGAAGGAGCTACGCACAAAGCTCTTGAAATACGCTTCATTGTATAATCTAGACGACATGGTACCGGCCGCGGAAACGGACGGCAAGGATAGAGGAGGAGCTAAAGACGGCTGGGGCTTTGTTCGAAGTTGGGGTTGGCGAGCCACACTTAGTGCACAGGACGTTGGAGTCGTGATCGGTGCCTTACTCGAAGTCAGCAGGCATAGCACTATAACAGACATGGATGGTCGTATACGTGCAAGCCAAGCGCAAGACTACGAGGATGATGGAGGCGCGGCCGAAGCACAGGAGTGGGTTAGCCGGTTCTGGGAGGCTTACGATGCGCTCGAGAAGTGAGTTATCTTCTTTCTTAATTCAAGCAGAAAGCTAATCTAGGTCAAGTATCGATGCTCTCAAAGCTGGACTTCCCACAGCACAGTATCTTCATCGTGCCATCTTTCGCACAGGCACATCGCTCATTGGCAAAAGACAGATTAAACACTTGCATGCTTTTCGAATGTGTGTTATCAAGGATGGGCCAGATGTATCCCTCTTCACTCATCCATCTGCCCTGACCAAACTGGCGCTATGGATTGGCGAAGCCCTTGCGGAACAAGAGAAGGACGCTAACGGGAAATTGGCCCATGGTGGACGAGGCACACCGCTCGTGGTAGCAAGCCTAAACGAGAAGCGCGGTGTCTATCTCATAGTTGGTACAGGAGGCGGGGGTGGGCCCGACCTTAAATTCTTGGATCGTGAGAATGCAAAGGCAAAGCAAGCAGCCAAAGCGACCAAGGCCCAGGAACGAGAGCTGAGGCGCCAGAATAAGAAAAAAATAAGGGAGGAGAAGCGTGCCGCACGGGCTGCAGCTGGTGACGATGAATATGAGGAAGACGATACGGAATCGGAGGCTAGCGAATCGGACTCGGACTCAGACTCAGATGCAGAGGACGAACAGGAACAACGCAAAGATCGCGGCTATGGTCTGAATAAATTCGGGAGCGCCTTCCAAGACGTAGTCAGCGAAACAAACGCTCGCGTGCGGATCGACAGCTTTGAACACTGTGTAGTGGAAGTACGAAAGGAAGACCTTACGGGGTTCCTAGAGAGTCTCAGCATGAAAGCTGTGGTTGGATAGAGCAGAGGACCAGGGGATGGCAGCGGCAGCATTCAATTACTTATCAGGCGTTGAGCGATGTTTGGTGTTATGGCGAAACCGCATTGGCATTCTCTGCATCACGGGTTCAAAATCCACTATTCCTTTCAGACTAAAGTATACTTCCGGTAGGGGGGCGGCAGGTGTCACATACATAGTATTCCTTCCAGCACAAACCGAGACGACGATAATGGGTGACGATTTGAATAGTTTCGAAGAAAAGATGGCATGTGGAATGAAGGGCAAGCCACACCACTTTGTTGTCCACTTGGTGAAGGGGACGAGTTGGCCAAACCGAACCTAGGCGCTTGAGTCCATTCGATGTCAAATATCATCATTTTCAAGAATATACGTGCAATGTTTCATGCTTTCGTGAAGATGGATGCTTCTTTCTCTATTATCACCCACGTATCTAGCCCAGCCTTGGATCGTAGTTTTTTATAGTCTGGTGACACCAGATTTACACGTTATACGAAATTCCGCCAATGGGATGCCAATGATTGTACAGAGGAGTGTTACACAAGGCCAGGATTGCTTGGTCTCACCTGGACCGGCCACTTATGTGATTGGACTATTTTCGAGGGGGCTCGCGTTGGATAACTGAGCACTTACTTGCTAGATATATAGGTAGGTACCTATGTAACGTCGGGAACCATGGGATTGATCAGTGTCTGGGTTATTCAGCCTGATACGTGACAGGCTGGTGGCTACGCATGCTCGCTTGCTTACAGATGGATTACCTACTCATGCGTACGTAGTATGTAGTATGTTTACATGCATGCCACCTGTAGGTATGGATTTGTGTTACTAGGCTAGACTTGATGATGTTCACGATGCCGAATGTGTGCTGGCAACATACTTCGTAATTTATATTTAGCCTAGCGAGTACACTTGTACTACTTACGTGCTTGTCTGTGTTGGGTTTTTCGTAAGGACGGCGGAAGTAGGAAGTCAGCTGTCAGCAGCTGACTGCTTTATAAATACTTCGTAAGTATGTAGGTACCTACCCCGCCATTACAACATCACATCACGGAGATCTGAAGAAGCGCGCCCCGCCATTCCCTGCGATTCCATTCATTTGTCTGTGCTAGACCTCTGCCTTATGTAGGTAGGTAGACAAAGCATTGCGTCGGATGTAACAGATTCCATCTGATCATACCTACTAAGTATGTACAATTGTTTATGCCTGGTTCTTTTGAATCGCTCGAAGCTTTGTCCAAGTACTTAGATAGGTAGGTACCTATCTAGTACCTAGTAGTGACCCATTCTTGTACCTAGGACCCTTGCCCTACACAATGTGCACGTTATCCTTCGTCATCAACCTCGGTACCCTGACCCAGGTCTCTCTGTCTATCTGTCTGTTTTAAGAATCGACAGCAAGTAAAGCGCCTCAAATGCAAATACTATGTACTTCGACGAACATGGAATAGCGAAACTAAACCCAATGTGAGTAAGTCAGTATTGAGATAAATTAGGTACATACCTATCTACTATACATCCCATCTTACCCGCATGCATAATCCACCACATCCCGCTACCCTACATACTAGGTACATACCTAACATGCTTAGGTAGTATCTGTATATACCTAGGTACTGCCTGGCCGTGCTCGTGTCAAACCTGTTCAGTACTTCGGCTGCCCCTCACTGTTCCTTCAACAACCCCTCCCCTCCCCTCCCCCCCTGCAATCAATCAATCAAATCAATCAATCCATCCATCGATGCATCCATCCTCCGACCTTGCTAAGCAAGTAAGTAAGCAAGCAAGCAAGCAAGCAGGGCTGGTAAACGAACTCGCTGGTCTTAGTATCGTGCTTAGGAATGAACGTAAGTAGGAAGGTAGTGCCCGCCAACCTTGTATGTACTATAGGTACCTAAAAGAGCTGTACCCTACCTAGGTACCTACCTTACCCAGGCGTTTGGTCTCGTCAGACGCCCAGAACAATTTCCCCATAACCAGCAGTCAGCAGTAATCAGATCGATCTCTTGTCTCTCTTGTCTTTTAATCAAAATCAAGCAAGAGATGCTGAAGATCGCATAGCAATCACATGATTCATGTTCCCAAGTGTTGGCTGGCTAGACATACATACCTACAGTATAGGACTCGGCAGACGACAGCATAAAACAAAGACCAGACTAGCCCTCTTTTCACATACATACCTACCTATTACCTTACTGTAGGTAATCAATCAGACCAGGCCCTTGGTCTTTGGTCCTTGGTCCTTGTTCCCTCGGTCCTTGGGTCGGTCTTAATCTTCAAGCTAACCGCAACCTCGAGAGCCCTGTCGACGTCTTCTGCTGCTATTTGCTGCTCTTTGTTCTACTTACAGTAGGGAGCCCATTGCTAATCCAATAATCAATCCAATAATCAGCCCACCGTGAGTTACCCAAACAGGCAAGAAACGTAGCGCCATCTTGCCACTTCACTCGCTCACCCGCTGAAATAATCCCTCTCTCAGACACTCTCAGACTCTCTCTCGCTCCTTGCCGAAGCGAACAACGGCGCACACTGCTCGACTTGGATTAGCCTGTATAGCCATACTATCTATGCAGAGTAGGTACTATCTCACCCAATCTTAATTGTTGGAATCGCGTGGGCTCTATTCCATTCCGCAATTCGCTGTGACAACAACCTACTGTATTTGTATGTACTGTATGTCTCTCTTTCTTATCCCTACATAGTACAGATGCCTACCTACTTTGACGCTAAATTCCCGAGACCCTCTATATCTACCTCACTCTACCTTATTCTCCGCCCGGCATCCGATTCACCGATTCGCAATCGACTCGGACCCGACTCATGCGGCTCTGCTGACAGCGCAAAAAGGTACAGCCAAAGCGCCCTAAAACGTAAATCTGTTACGGCTACTGTTGCGACAAAACCCCCCACCTTATTTCTACTTCGTACTTGCCTGCTTCCCTGCCTCTCTGCTACCTGCCTACTACCAACCAGATCCATACCAACCGACCGACCGACTTACGTAGCAGTCGTTGTCCGCGTCCTGCGTACCGAGCATATCTGCACCATCTGCTCTGGCTACCTACCTTACCTCCCTCATCACCTACATCTACCTAGATCCCGACCAATCTATTCCAGGTTTACCTAACATATCTATTTCTCTGTCTATCTCTTTCTCCTTGCTTTGTACCTGTCCATCTGTCTACCAACCTACCCACCTACATACATACCTGACCTATTCTATTCCGCTCTACTTCCTTGACCTGACTCGACTTGACTCGACCGTGGCCCTCTTGCTTAGTTGGGTATTGTTGACGTCTGCCGTTCCGCACTCAGCCTGCCTGCCTACCTAGCTACAGTCCTAACTTTCCTGCTTCGGTATCCTCCTCCTGCCTTAGGGCGTTCGCTGCCGCGCGCTCCCGCCGCATCCCACGCTTCCTGGCGGCTCCAGCACTATCTCCATACCTCCTAGGTACTTAGTCTAGTGTAGCGGCCTGCCTGCCTGTCTTCCTAACTAAACGTCCCGCCTACGACGCTCTCACCTCTCCACCTAGACACACACACAGACACACACCTATACATCATCATACATCCGCAAACCACCTAGAACCTTGGTCCCTTCGCACATATATCCTCCTAGCGACCCCTAGGCGTTCCCTTCATCAGTCGCCTTGCTTTTTTCGCTGCCTACGCTGAAATAGAACATGGGCAAATCGTAAGTCAGCTACCATCCATCGCCTTTTCCCCGCAGCAGCTAGCTATCCTTGACATCCTTGTCGCCTATGTTATCCCATACCCTCTTGACCATCTAGAGTTTGCGACAACCCATCTCTCTTTACACCAATACCTGTCTTCCTCCCATCCCCTCCGTTCATGTCTCTTCCTATTTGTTCCTCCGTCTACCTTGAAGGCCAAGGCGCGACGGAGCTTAGCTTAGTTCCGCGCGTGCCCCAGCACTTTGAACGTTCTAGGCTCACGTATCTATCACCAGTCAATCCAAGCTCTCCCAAGAGCAGCTTGCCGAACTCCAGAAATCCACTCATTTCGACAAGAAGGAGTTGCAACAATGGTATAAGGGTAAGTCATATCTGGTGCCGCAAAATGGTCACCAGCGGCCTGTTTCACGTGTGTTGGCGCTCACTATTATTGTCGCTGTTGTCGCTAGGCTTCCTAAAGGACTGCCCGTCAGGCATGCTTACGAAAGAGGAATTTCAAAAGATCTACCGCCAATTCTTCCCCTTCGGAGACCCGTCTTCATTCGCCGATTATGTTTTCAACGTATTTGATTCCGACAAATCCGGCTCCATCGATTTTAAAGAATTCATCTGTGCGCTAAGCGTTACTAGCCGTGGCAGGATGGAAGATAAGCTTGATTGGGCGTTCCAGTTATACGACATTGATGGTGATGGCAAGATCAGTTACGAAGAGATGCTCAAGATCGTAGAGGCTATATATAAAATGGTGCGTATCAGTCACACACTAGAATTATGTGCTCAACTTGTGCTAAAGTATCGCCTTATGACGTATAGGTTGGCTCCATGGTGAAGCTACCAGAAGACGAAGATACCCCAGAGAAGCGCGTGAGGAAGATTTTCCGCATGATGGACAAGGACGAGAACGGCAGTTTGGATATGGACGAGTTCAAAGAAGGAAGTAAACGTGATGAGACGATCGTGTCAGCCCTATCGCTGTATGATGGCTTGGTTTAATCCACGACTAGCCCGGCTGGCCACAAATCTTGGCAAGGGCCACGGTTCATGCGCACGGGTCTCAGGGAGGCCAAACGGCCTGGGTAGGACGGAAAGGGATTTCTACTGATGATTTGTAGACGGAAACGGGGTTTTGATCCCGCAAGGGCCGGTGACAACAAACCGTGGTTCCTTTTCTTTTGCTTTTCCTCTCTTATCTTCTCCCACTTGCCTTGCCGTAGGCGCTCTTGTATGTCGTGAGGGAATGACAAAAAAAAAAAAAACCTTGACACTGGGCTTCGCCGTTCCCATCACTAGCTTACCCGGCCTCTCACATCGATCAGCGAGCTTCTGTTTCGAGACCGATTACAGAGTGAATGACAGCGTAATCTGAACCCCTCTCCCTCAAAACCGGTACCGTGGCTCTGCCGCTCGGGTATTCTGGTGACTCATTGACTTGACTGGTTCGCTGCCTGCCTGCCTGTCTGCCTGCCTACCGAGCTGCTTGCCTTCCTGCCCGCCGCGAAGAAAAGGCGAACAAAACAGAACAGCCCATTTCCCCACCTGATGACCACGGGCACGAGGAAAAGGGAAAGCTCTCCTGATGATACTGCGCCTCGCTAGCATAGCCTCCTTACCTACCTACTTGGGAACATATCTAGTCTGTCATTGGTCGGAAAATAAATTTTCTTCGGTGTGTCGCATGGCATGTGATATATATGTATGGGTAGGTATGCAGAGATGATTAATTTTACTATCTATTGGATTGATTTAGGGTAGGTAAATCAGTTGCAGTGAATAGAAAATGCTGGTTTTATATCCCCTGGGGGGCGGGGGGGGGGGGCGGCGGGGGGCGG